AACAATCTACTCAGTTAAAATCAAAAGCATATCCTACTCAGTACATACAAATACTAGCTAAATTAGCTACTATTTTACCTACTACACCAGAGCTAGAATCCTACACAATAACTGAATGGCCCCCATGAAAACAATTTCCAGCTATATCTATCATCAAAGACAAGCACTCTAAGTCTAATATGATAGAAAAACATTAAACAATACTAAATATCCTTCAAAGACAAATTCCAGAAGAAAATTATATAGTATATACAGATGGATCATTACAAACAACAGTAGGAGCAGGATGTTATATTACATACTGTCAAAATATATATACTTTTTCCTGGCATCTAGACTCATATATGGAAATCTATGATGCAAAACTCTTTGCTTTAACTAAAGCAATAAAATGGATAGCATATAGATCAACTATAAATTCCAAAACTATCTGGATATTTACAGACAATCAAAGTATCTTAGATACAATACAACATTCTATAGCTGGACCTAGACAACAACTACTACTACAAATCTTTTCTGCTATTCAAGTCCTCAAAGACAACAACATTCAAATCCACCTTCAATGGATTCCAGGACATCAAGAAATACTAGGAAATGAAGAAGTAGATAAAGCAGCCAAGCATAGAACAACATATACTAACAAACTATACAAGGATGCATATACTTCATACAGCTACTTGAAAAGAAAGTTGAAAAAGCTTATCCTTGAGCAATGAATCTACCAATGGCAAACTATTTCTAAAGGAGAATATTATAAACAGTTTCAAACCTTTCTACACTGGAAGCTATTTGAGGGATACCAAGACCTTAGAAGAAAACTAGTTACAAATGCCATTTAACTCAAGATAGGACATAGTTATTTCAAATCCTACCTATACAGGCTATCTACATATGAGTTAAAAAAATGCAGCTCTATCTACAATTTTACTCAGAGTCCAGCTCATTTATTACTGTCCTGCTCTTAAACAAAAGAAGCTAGGAAAGTTTTATTACAAAAAGTAAAGAAAAAAGTTCTTACTTTGAAAGTATTATATACTAGAAAAAACTAGAACCACCTACTAGAATATCTAGATACTACTAAAGTAGCATCAAGAACATGGTTACTACATCAAGAAGGACAACATCAACAAGAAACATTATGGGACTGGAGTAGACTTCAAGATAAAAGTACCCTTTGAGATTGTTCAAAAAAACAAAACTAAACTTTGACTCTCTTTTATTACTTTTATTACTCTTACTTTGTCTATTTTTATTATTTTCTTTATATTGTACTAATTTTTTTTTGTTTTATGTTGATAAATGATATCTAGTATCAGCTTGACTAATTCTAGAGTGACTTTCCAAAGCTCAATACATATTTTATGTACTTAAATCATAGACCCTGCCATAGCTTTAAGACTGCATACAAAATAAATAAATAAACAAACAAACAAATAAAAGTTTATTCTATTATTATAATCTATATTATATAGTTAAAATTATTTTTTTAGTAACTAATCTTTATATAAAGATATATTTTAGTATAACAAAATACTATAATAAACTAATTAAATTTTGGCATAGTTTTATATAAGGCTTATTTGTTTAAATAATATTAAACTACTTTATATATAATAAAAAGAAAAAAATACTTATACTAAATAATATTATACAAATTAAAAAAATAAAAAACTTTATCAAGAGTTGTATTATTTTTATTAGTCAAAACTTTCAAAAATAGTTTCATGTTAAAAAACTATTTACATTATATTAAAACTAATTATAAGCTTGAAAAGCCTTGCAAAAAATAAATTAATAGACTTAAAAAGAATTTTTAATATAAAACTAATTTTAATTAAAAATATTAAGTTTAAAATTATTTATATACAAATAGTATAAATTTTTACATTAAATTATTTATATTTTAGAATATATTTTAATTATTTATATTTAATTAAAATTTTTAATAATTTTATAATAATATTAAATTTTATTAAATACTATAAATTATTTTTTAAAAAAAAGTACTTTTAGCTCAATAATATAATATTAAGCTTTTAAAATTAAATTAGTTTATAAAGTAAGCTAGTTTCAAATAGAAAACAAATTATTATAATTTTTTTTTATTTTTTTATATTTTATATTTTTATTATCTTTAAATTATTTTGAATTAATTTAAAATTATTTAAAATTATTAGTATTAGATTGATAATTTTAAATTCATTTATATAATATAAAATATTAAGTATTTTAATTAAAAAATATTTTTTAAATAAATTAAAAATTTATACTATCTATATATAATTAATCTATAAATAACTTTATAATCTTTTAACTATTGTTATACTATTTTAAAAAGATGACAAACTATTACTTTTATTAAATTCTTTAAGTTTTAAAACTTTAAAATTTTTTATATTTAAATTAAAATTATAATATATATATATATTGTTACTTTTTATACATTTTTGTCTATTCAAGTAATTTATTTTATTTTTTAAAAAAATAAAATAATAATAAGTTCTTTTTAATTACTAAATTCAAAAATTTTATATTAATATTAATATTTACTTTTTATAAATATTTAATTTTGAACTTATTTATTTTTAAATATTTCAAATAAATCAAATATATTATAAATTTATTGAAAATATATTTCAAGTTAAACCAATTTAAATGTAAATTATTTTCAAAAAATTGAAAATAACTTTTGAATCTTTAATATAGATTGAAAATTTTTTGTATCAAAAAGAATTGAAAAAAAAAAAAAAAATTGAATTTAAAAAATATTTTTATAATATAGTAATAAGGTTTATCAATCTAGCATTTAAGGTCTAGCTCAAAATATCTAGAATTGTACTCTTAAATTGCACGTTTTATTGAATATTTACTATCTGTAGCTAAGTGGCTGCGAGGTCCCTTCCAGCGGTCGCGTTCCACACCTTTGCAAGCGACTGTAAACAACTTCTTACCGTGGCTTCCAAAGATCGAACAAATACACAATTTTCCCTACACCTGTCGAAATTTACAACGACATCATGGATGCAGATAACCAGCACATTATTCATCGTAACCGGAATCATTCTTCCCGACCTACAACCCCTTTGCGACCGCCATCTCGCTCCTCTGTCCGAGAAGCACAATCTCATCGCGATGGCAGGGCACCTGCAAGGCAACATCAGCCGCCTCTTGCAAACCTAGAAATGGCGTTCGCTGAATTATCCGAATACATGGTTGATCTTGAGGCCAATTTCATGCACCTCCACATAATGCACGAGAGCATTGCGCGCTTTAGTGAGAGTTTTGCTAGCTTCCTTTACGGTCTCAATATGAATGCCTTTTGTGTCGATTTCCCAGAGGCAAGGCATCTCTCTATGAAATTCATTGACTATCGCTGAAGCATATTATAGGCACCTGTTCTGGACTCATTTGAGCGGGCCAGTCATACTTCTGAATTGAGTAAGCTCCTTGGATCCAGAAGTCAAAAAGATAATCATGGATGACCAGCCGGACACAGCCAGTAATACGGAGGCTAGTCGTGCAGGACTTGATGGAGATACGAGTTTCTTGTGATGATTTCTTGTCCGCGTTATCTGTGATGCTCACACACTGACATTCGTATTCAGGACTACCGATACGTCCTTCATCACTGATCCCAAACCCCCCTTGAAAGTTCCACCGCATCAGGCGGGATCGAAACTACCCACGAACTCCCATCCTCTCAAGTATAAAGGCTCCGTACATCGAGATACGGTTGGGAGGGGTAGAAGCCGCGAAACACATAGAAGTGGATTGGCCAGACCAAAGACAACAGGTGCCAAATATCGAACTGCACCGTAGATTTACGATTAATGAGTGCATCACAAACCAATTGACCTAGATGCAGAATCTTTCTGTTAACGGACGTTGCCGAGGATCATCTTATGTCTGTTTACTTAAGAATTACGGCTAATTACGCAAATGGGCCGCGTTTTTGCAATCCTTTCAAAAATGGGTTTCGAGACCGTGCAATTACTTGCATGGACTACATAATTACTCGGATGGGCTCGGTTAAACTAGATAGAGCAAGTTAGACTCCATTCTTTTAACAATATACTAGTAAATTCAGGTACATACCAGCATACAACGTACTCTGTACAGTGAGTGCCAGGCTGTCCGAGCATCCCAGGACAAGGTGCCTCTAGAGATAACATCCAACAGAATCCATAAGGTACCATAGCTACCGTAGGAGTCAACAACACAATTGGAGGAGCTGCAAGTTTGTATTGGTGTATATAGACTTGGCAACCAGTTGAAATATCCTAGGAATCACTAGAAATCTAGATTATTTATAAGAAAATCACTGAAAGTTGTTCCTGTGCAGCAATATACCTCTGGCCCATCTCAGTAAACCACCCGTCATTTCCATGGTCAATCGCTGTAATTTTGTATTCTTTTGGCCCATTTCTGAAAGGATCACTTAAACGCGGCCCATTTGTGTAATTAGCCGTAAGAATTAACTATCAAAGACTCGCGAAAGTCCTCGAATCGGACACTCCCAGGGTAGTGTAGCTTCATTGTTGAAGGAACGCACCCTGAATGGAAAGGCTTTGGCAGGGTTGATACCCTCTTTACTCAGAGATCAGCGCTGAGAGGCGAGAAAGTTATCACAACGCGCATACAATAAGTTCAAGTCAGCAAAATTAATTGCCAAATACCGAAGTTTGGACGACAATTAAATCGGGTCTCCATTAAATATTATATCTGACTGATTAAAGCTGGTAGAAAAAAGGGTATATGATATCGTTGCCCAAGTCGGGCATCTCATTTCTTTCGTGAAGCGGATCGAAGTGCAAGAGTAGCATCAATGAAAATATCCTCGTGAGCGATCTTCACTGCGCGAGCCATCCGAAGGTCGGCTTGGTTTTCCGCCGGATAGACCAACCTCTAATAGATACAACCAACGTGATCCATGCCATAAGGAACGCGGTAACCCCTCCTGTCACCGTGAAAACAAACATGCTGTCGATGTTATACTGTTCCATGGCCGCCACTGTATCCTTGTTCTTGACAGGGCGTTAGCAAAGATTTAAAATTGAAAACAGGAAGATCTCTACTCACGCTGACCATAAAAATAAGACCCCCCGCAATGAGACAAAATGACGCGACTATTTCTGACGGAGGCCGAGAAGGGAGAAAAGATGTTGGCGGAGCGATATAGAAAACCACATAGGTGGCCAATCTTGCGAGAGCAAAGCCTGCAAACAACGTTCCCCACTGTTTGTGAACCATGGAAGATACCATGGACGCTTGGTGATGAGAACCCATCATCATACCAAGGAGTAAGATGACTAAGCCTGGTAGAGGGTTCATCGAAAATCCATACGTTTTTGGTGGCTCGAAGAATTGATTAGGGGCTCCGCTTGTAGAATGCAGAGAGGGTTCGAACGAAGCGTTCAACAATGAACGAACTTTTCTGGATTCAACGAGCATGCCAAGCTGTGGAACGTCAATGAAAAGTCATGGTAGCTAGAACGGAGCACTGTTGGAAGTCAGTACTTACCAACCCACCACCAAAAAACATAATTGTAATAGCGACATGTTCTAAATCTGAGGGTGCCCATTCGCCTCCCCAATTGGCAAGGTGTTCAAGGAAAACATTTGTCGAGCCGTAGAAAAAGATGACACTGGATTCCACAAACTCGGCTGAAGGAACAGAAGCTATGCGGGGTCCAACTATTTCTTTAGGTGGCTTCACGTTCCAAGCCCAGCCCAAGGCTGCAAAGCATCCCATCCACCGACCTAGAGTTAGGATGCCATACCAGAAGAAAATTCCTCCTTTGATGAAATGTGCCAATCCGTTAAAAACATTAATACCACGCTTAAATTTAGTCAGCACAATTCCACGACCATCAACATATGTATCATATACGTACAAAAATCCCTCCAAACGTGACCGCCCCAGTGCAAATCGTCGCAAACCCAAGGACGAGAATGGAACGATCTATAACTTGAGACACAAATTCCACAAAATACCACATTTTTCTTGAGAACACTCGCGGGACTTTTGTGGAAATATAACGTTCTATAGCTGTACTGGGTAAGATGGAGGGCTTTTCGCCATATGCGTGACCCTCATCATCATCTTCTTCTGCAAAGCGTCCATCACTCTGAAACCCGGATAACGGGCGTTCTTCATCGCCTTCAATGGGGGAGAATGGATGGCGACCCAAAGAGGATGAGTCTCTCTCGGTTCCCTGTCCACTATCCCTTGAATAGCGATGGCAATGGTCGTCATGTGCCTGTTGATGCTCTTCCATAGCCTCAACCGAGATGGGCAGGAAGTTACCACATTCATGTCGGTCACCGCTGTTCAAATTCGGGCTTTTAGAGTAGAGTCTAATAAAACTCATCACAAGTTGCGCTGCGATGATCCATGATACAGCCCACCCAAGCCCATGGTGTATGTTCTTCGGATAAAGTTCCGGCGTTTTGTGATTATAGACAACACCGAGTAGAATCGCAAGGCCGTTAACAACAATAAAAATTGATTGGACAGGTATTGCCAGCCGCGAACGTGTGAGATTGAACATAATGCCTGCGAGAACGTTAGCTGGTTGAAGTAGACAGGGAAAGGATGAGTAAATTGCACCTATTGGTAAGATAAAAACCCATCCGAGTATCATCAGAAATATATGTGCGTAGATTAGGTTAGAATGCGAAGAGAGTTGAAAATAACTCTGAGCTACATTTGTCGCTGAAGGTGCAGCCGACATGGAGATAACTGGACGAGTTGGAGAAATACTGGAAACTGCATTCCCGTCATCCTCAAAAGAGTCATGTCCATGTGCAGTTGCAGATGGAAGATGACATAAAAGCGTTATTGCAGTTGAAATGAATAGGACACGGATATACTGCATGTCGACACGCCTGCACCAGCCTGGATGGAGTATTGTTTAATTTCCAGCAACAATAGCAATAGCGAAAGGCAAGAGACAGAGGTAATGTTGGCAAAGTTGAATGTGAGGAATTCAAGCACATGTGGGGAATTTAGAAGAGGCTAAGACTTGGGTAAGTAGAGAGATGAGCGTTAATAATCAATTGAGGTGGTTGATGTAGGAACTTATCCATCGCATATGGAAAGACATCTCGGAACTAAGGTTCACCGGTGACCAGTAGCGGCTTGGACTGATGCGGTCATCTACCATGCTTACAGTACTTCGGTAAGTCAGCTACTTCTACTGTGTAAGCCAGCCAGGCAGGACACCCATGGGGTGATGTTTTGGTTACTGAATCACGGCAAGGATAGTGTGATGTTTGGGGAATATTGGGACTTTGGAAAGTATGATCACAAGCATGGCTAGATCTGATTGGATGGCATTTTCAACCACGATATGAGAAGCTTGAGGAGATGACAGGGTAAGCGGAAATGTGCGTTTACATGGTGGTTAGGATCGCACTCCGTACTTCCGAGCTTTCCGGATCGCTTCGCCTGGCTGGTGATCCTGACGTAATTTACCATGAGCTCAAAATGAGGAGCTCGGACTAGCAATGCCCTGACCTTAGATAATACCACACAAAAATCACTCACCGACTTATACCGGAGTACACGAATTATTTGGACTAAGTACAGGTACTATAAGCCTAGCTCTTTTTATCTCAGCGTTGGTTTCCTCGCTATATATGTTATATAACGCATGACACACCCATGGATTTCAATTTTGCAACGTTGTGCTTGACTATATTGAGGTTGCTGCCCTTTCCGCCGGCCTCGGCCGCGTTCGTCCTATGGTTACAGGAAGGAACCATAGTTACCTAAGCTGCGTTCTAATTTTTCCCCTCTATAGAGTAATAGCTGGGAACTCACTCGAAGAAGATTCCGGCTAAGCGCAATTTTAGCCGGATTGCGATCACACTAGCTTAAGCCAAGTCTCGGCCCAAGTGCCGAGCTCTAAACTTTGTATCCACAACAATACGTACCAAGGTTATCGACTTTGTTACTCCATTGTTTTTCGTGGTTCTATCATTGCTCTAGCTACCATGTAGTTTGCTAGCCATGTTCCAGCTCCTCAAAGAAATCAAGTCCCTTCTAGGCCTGTAGTTCAATCTAACTACGGAAGTACAAATGTGAGGAACAATACCACTCTGACCACCCTTTTTCAGTTGCCTTGGGAAGAATTGCCATGAGCATTCCACGCGAGAAAAATGGAGCCACTTATTCGACGTCGGAGAAGTAGACCATTGGTAATACTTGTAGCCCGCATGAGGCGGGGAGCTATTTTACGGGTCGAGGGGGTGGGAAAATAAAATTAGCTTAGTACAGGCTATCAACTAACTAACTTCTTTAATAAGCTTAGTCAGACATTCGAGTCATGTCTGACGCTCGGACGTTTCGGAAATTAAGCCTGTAGGCCTTCCGCTGCCCTGGGTTGCAAACGGGTACTCTGGTGGTTTACAATACCCTCAACAAACGGAGATACTGTGAGCAAGAATTTTGATACCCAAAGTTAGTAGTTGAGCATATAGCTTATTTACCTATGCAAAATAATGTCTTTCTCAAAGCTGTAGCTGGCAAGGATTTCAGGGGTTTCAAGCTGAGTTTTTAAATTCAACTATACGTATACCTTCAGCATATCCTTTAGGCACAAATTCCCCTTTTTATCATTATTATTATTTATTTATTTATTTATTGGATAAGATATTTTACTTGAGAAAGATACTGAAAAGGGCAACAGAATACTGTTCTCTCCCACAATAGACCAAAAATGCCATCCAAATAAAAACATACGCATAACTAAAGTACTCTGGAAACAAGAGAAATTCCTCTTGACTTGCTATTTTCTACCTGAGTCTACTTTGTTACACTTTAACGACATGAGGGTAAATAATAGTTCGGCTCCGGTAAGTTTCAACTCAAAAACTATTCCTTTTTAAGTATTTCATTTTTATTCAATTGTATTATAAGCATGCTAAGAGAACCCCTTTCCTTGGCAAGCCTCCAATTATTTCAGCATCACAAAGATCCCAGATCATACCTAGTCGTGAAGGGATTGGCAGTACAATTGCTTAAGAATGTTGTGCCGAGACCAAAGGACCACGAAGCAGGAAAGACTGTGACGTCAGCCGACCATTGTAACGCATATACTGTATCAGATTCTGACAGATCGAGCCACTGAATCTCGAGCATGAGTCCTCTAGCGAAAAGCTATAGAGCTCGAACAATGTAAAATAGCAGATATGCGTCGGCTTCAAGGACTTCGGCCTCCAATGCTAGCGTTACCTTGTTGTCATCAAACATAAACCACTTAACGAAAGGAAAGAGTTAGGACCGTGTCATTTGAATAGATAAAAGGGAGAGAAAAGACATACCTCGTTTCCTTCTCGCGAATATGAGATGTAATGACCGGATTCCAAGGACCCTTTATGCACAATTACGCTTGAAAGCTCATAAACATATGATCCCTGTAAAGAGCCAGACATCAAGCCACTCCTATATCGAGTGGTATATGGCGTCATGTCGAGCTTCAAAGGAAAGTGTAATTTAGACTCTATTTTGAACGCCGCGGACCTGGAATGCTCAAACTTCTGCAAAAAGATCATGGTAAGATTTCCCGCAAGCCAAGAAAGAAGGCTGATGACAAACCTTGAGTTGTATGCAGAGGATAGGAGGAAGACGCTTCAGTGTCAGTTGTTTAACAGCTCTCTTTGGAGCGACGTGGCAATTCTGACAAGTATATTCATCTGGTTCCAGCCTCTCTTCACTGGTATATCTTGCAAGACAATCCTGAAGCTCAATCCGAGGGACAGTAACAGAACCAAAACTCTTATTCTTCGGTAACTTCAACTGAGATTGTAAATGAAGGCTTAGATCCATGACAGGATCCTCCGCGGTTGTCGTATTCTGACATTCCTCGCACGTGACTGTACTCTGAAGCTTTCCATAAAAAAGTTTATGAACGATACAATTGCATTGATCAATTCCGGCTTCCTTTCCACCATTGCTAGAGTGAAGTTGGTTTAGCAGAGACTGGAAGTATTCATGCGCATCTTGCTGTTGATAACCAGCCAATGCCTCGAGGACTATCAGCGCGTCATCTCATAGTAAAGGAAAAATGAAATAGCCTTACCTGCTCCGAGGCCCACGACTTATAGAGCATACCAACAGCACCAAAGCCATCCGATTTCTCAATGGAGAAAAGCTCTGAAAATATTTCATCCAAAGCGCAACTGACACAATTTTCCAGAGAACATTCATCTGATCTATGACCGTCGGAGAGGAAGAAATTTCTTATAAGAGGATTGTGAATCAAACTCTGCAGTATGACGCTCATAAAGCATGTTTGACCCATATTGTATAAACCTCTTAGTCCCGCAGCTTGGCAAGGTACAGCATCTGTATTTGCTCCCACGCTACGTTCATGTTCCGTTGATGAAGCAAAATCCGTGTATTTCCGCTTTTTGTTCCCTGAAATAGTGAGCAAACGAGAAACGCCATTTGCAACATAGAGGTCACTCACCTAAGCTACCCGTATGTTGATGTTTGGCTAGTCTTATATCTTCCAGCATAGGGTCATAGACGAAGTCCTCGCAGCAATGGCAATAGAGACATCCAGATCTTGATTCGACGGCTTTACGCTGTGTCAGATATTTCCAAATAAGCTTCTGAAGACACATGCGGGATCATACCGAAGGAATGACGCTTCGAATTCCAATGGCTTGTCTTTTCTTCCTGGGTGCAGATCGTAGGACATTGAAGACATAGATATGTGGGGGTAAATGAGGTAAATTGCCGTTCATATCGTCCTTTAATGAATTTCGCGGTCTGCGAAACCATAGAATGCTTTGTAAATATGGCACGTTGGAGTGCAATGTAACCTCGAAGAGACGATTGTATTGTTTCCTGGCTATGCGAAAGTAGTTCTTGAAGGTGTTCTGTGCATACATTCAGTTAGTATCGTAAAACCAGCGATGATCCGATATACTAACCACAGCCGTAGGCCGGCCCTCTCAAGTGGTCGGGGGGACAAGAGAATTTCGGGTTCCATGATGAAGGGGACGTGGAAGCTGTGTTCGAATTTGGAGTAAGCACTATTGTCTCGTTCGAGGCCATAGTCGAAATCAGATCATAAATCTGCCGGGGAAGTAGAATTCGATACGAATAAGGAACTCCGTAGTACTGTGCAGTGCATTGCCGAAGAGTGGGCGTTTCACGATAGTTAATCTTCTCGAAAATAACTAACGTCGATGGAAACAGCCATAAATCATAGGAACAATACTTGAGAAACCATTAAACATAGCCTTGAAATTTGAACAATCTCATTTCGAGGATCCAATGATGTAAAAACAAAATAATAATAATAATAATAATAATCAATCAACGCAGTGCCTGAGGAGATCCGTGAAGTATCACTTGGTTGGAAATTAGCCCTCGGAGGAGCAGTTCATTTTCCTTGATTGATTTTGCATTTTGGTATATATTTTTAATTAACCAATCTCTAAATTGTATACTGTCGCGATGCCAGAGTGGTTAATGGGTCAGACTTGAATTATAAGCATTCTGATATCTGATGGCTTCGGCCTCGCAAGTTCGAATCTTGTTCGCGACGAATTTTTTTGCAACCCCCAACTCCTTTTTTTTTTGTCAATTTTAGTAACTCTCTCTATTTTGGGCCATGGATGTTTGCCAGTTGCTCTGTTTTATTCCTCAATAATCCTAGCAAGTCACTCGTTGTCAGGGTTGTTATAAGCTACGTTAGGTACCAATGTATCTCCAACCCATCACCATCCTGAGAACACTCCGGGAAGCGTTACTTAGAATTTGGTAGTTAATTGCTCACTCCGGGGAACATTCGAGTAAAACCTCAATTTAAAACTCAAACCACGATAGTATCGAGAATGGCTTCGAATTTGATCACTCTACCCGACATTCAGAGGCTCAGCAATCGAGTCATCCGAATCCTTGGAGCCAATCCGGGCAAAGTATGTTCGTATGATTCGCAAACAAATTGTGAGCTCTTACTTACTTATTTAGTTTACACTCCAAGGTACGGCGTCTTCAAAATTGTATTGCAGTTTCCCGAGGACAGATGTATTAGTAGCGCAATACTTTTATGCCACAAAGCCTGATTTATCACGAAGCCAAATAAGAATGACTGCTGAAGAAAAATGCCTCTAGGAACTAATACTTACTTGGTGGGCACTGGTGCCCGCAGGTGGTTAATCGATACTGGGGAAGGCACAACCAAATGGTTCGACCTACTTAAACATGTTCTTACATCCGAGAGAGCAACAGTGGAGGCTGCTATCCTGACGCATTGGCATCGTGACCATGTGGGGGGAGTTTCTGACTTGATTTCTTTATCCCCTGACGTTAAGGTTTACAAACATCAACCAGGCCCAAGAGAGCTTGATGTGGAGGATAACCAGACGTTTAATCTGGAAGGCGCTACTCTTCGTGTAGTGCTCTCCCCCGGGCACACCACAGACCATGTGGCTGTTGTTCTCGAGGAAGAGAAGGCGATTTTCACTGGCGATAGCGTACTGGGACATGGAACAGCGGTTTTTGAAGAACTAGGCACTTATCTCTTGAGCCTTCAGAAAATGAGTAACCAATTCTGCAATAGGGCGTATCCTGGACATGGTGATATCATCGAAGATTGCCGAGCACGTATTGCTGAATATATACAGCATAGATATCAACGGGAACACCAAGTCATTGAGATCCTTTCTTCAGCCCCCGGAAACGAATTTTGGAGTCCTGAGCAGATTGTTAAAATTATCTACAAAGATGTCCCAAACAATCTTCACCTGGCTGCGGAGCGCGGCGTGCTGCTGATTCTAAAGAAACTGGAACTTGACGGCATCGCTGTCAAAGAAAGCTCTACTAATCGATGGCGATATCAAAACACCAAATTATCGCCTCAAACGGAGGTCTGATATCTTCGCTTCCTACCATTTTGCTCGGACGCTCCAGTTTGGAAACACTCGAGACTCGTCGTCCTTCCTTTCCCGTCTTTTGAATTAGGCGAAGCGGCCGACGCTTCCAAGTTTGACAGCACAACTATTACTGGAGACAGCTTTCATGGTTTTATAACTTGGTGCAAGACATCACTCGGAGTTCAATCCGGACTTATATATAGGGGTAGCGCTTCAAAAAACATCATAAGTCCAAATCAAAAACGTTGCAAACTGGAAATAATGTTGATATCGATGCTAGTTTCGCTGCTCGAACTTCGACTATGAAAAACATATAAAGGGCCAGAAATAAGAGAATTAGTCTGAATTGGACTTTGCAAGAATGACAGAACAGTATGTTTAGTTTAAAATTTGCCAGATTTACCATTTTTCGTTGACGTCATTACCATTTGAAACGAAAAATTCAGAAATTACCAAATCTAAATGAACGTTCGATCGTATGTTTGACTGGGGATGAAGAAGCGATCTGGGAATCCGAAAGTTTCATGGAATAGCCTCCAGACCTAGCTACTGATCATCAATCACATGCAAAAATTTCTTTTCCTCTCGTCTTTCGCGTTCAGTTTGCGGTGGAAGGTCATAGAAAGCAGAGCTTCGATATCCTTGCTTTAAATCAGATATGTCAGCAAACTTAGAATAATGTCTACAGCAAGACAAAATTCTCGGAGCTCACCAGATATTGAAACATCAAATCCTTGATCTCAGCTGGATCTATACCAAGATCCTCGAAAGTTTTGGCCTTGCGATCTATGCTTTGATCGATGAATTCTCTCTCGACTTCATCGGCAGAGAGCGTCGACCACCACAAGATCTTGTTGAGAAGATTTGCAGCAGGCTTAAGGACAGCTTTTGGAAGGTTGATATGGCGACGGTGCTTGATAATTTCTTTATCGACCATCTCAGCAATATCAGCCATAGAGTAATTCTGAGGACCATAGAGTTCATATGTTTGAGATGCAGTATTGTCATCGTGCATCATGAGCTCAAGAGCATGCCCGACGTCATTTGCCTAGGTGCATTGTATGAGTAAACGAAATCCCGGAATTGCTTATGCTCCTTCCAATGGCTTACATGCACCGGCCAAAATCTTTCCTGCATATGATTTGCAGTAAAAAGATTAGTGATTCCAGCAAGTCGATGCAATAGGCGATCCTCAAATCCGAACAACGGCGCAGGGCGAACAATAGTAGTTTCCGGGAAAATATTGCGAACAACTTCCTCACCAAGCGCCTTTTGAGCATTAAATTAGCCCTGACGTGGTGAGTATCAAAGCAAAATTTACCTTAGTACGGAAGAACTCAGACGAGGATCCCAGGTCCGCATTATATGAAGAGACATGAATGAATCTATCCACGTCATACTTGGCCACAGCTTCCGCAATTCGTTCAGGGCCGTCCACATGCACATCTTGAAGCGTAAAATTCCTATGAATATTTAGCGTCATTATAACATGTGGATAAACGACAATAGAAAGCGTAGCACATACTTAGTAGGATACATCCTCCCAATCAAATTGTACACAATGTCTGAATGCCGGACACTTTGTTCTATTGACTCGGTGTTCCGAAGATCGAATTCCTTAAAGAAGATATCGTCAGAATTAATCATCAAGGATTGGAAGAAACTCAAAAGAATGCTTCAGACCATGAATACAACCCTTCCGAGATCCCCAGTTACTTTGAGGTGGCGCTTAGCCATCTCCTCCCGATAAGGGATGACCACGGTGCAGCCTTGACGAGCTGCAAAGTGGTTCCGTTCGCGTCAGATACAGCATTGAAGCTCTGAGACAGAAAGCTTACCAAGTCGATTGACAATGTATCGCCCGAGGAACCCAGTAGCGCCAAATACGGTGGCAGTATGGCCTTATGGGGTAGGTCAGAGTCATAATTCAGGAGCGCGCTGCAAAGCAATACCTCCAAGGGAAGACCTTTAATTCGTGTTAATCAAACAGGTTGCGTTGAGATGAAAATACCCTCGTTCTCTACTTGCCTTCCGCCCTGCACTTTAATAATGGGTTTGCCTGTCCGTGTGACGGCAACATCTTGAAGTCCGCGTCGATAGGAGAAGCGTGTATGGCACGTGCCTGGTACCCATCTAGGGATAGAAATTCTGGACGCTGGTGTGGCCATTGTGGCTCTTGGCAGAATTGATGCCATATCTCGAACCAACGAATGAATAGACAAGCGGAATGTGGAGGTGAGGCAGTCTGGGGGAGCTTGTTGAATGGGGACGCCCCAAACGGCAAGTACCGATCGATCCCGAAGTTCACCCAGCGACTACGAAATCGCTGACGCTCATCTTAACCTCTTGGTCCAACTACGAACTTATACCTTGAATTCATCCATAGATGACGGCGGCTTGACGCGATCCAACATCACTTTCACTCAGATTCATTGCAATTACAGTTGATTTACGCATGGATCTAGACACTATTCCCAATTTTCTCGCGGACCAACGCGATGCTGCGCCAGCCGACCTTCAGCATCTTTTCGTATCTTTTGAGGACTTCTGGGAAAGACGGCTATGGCATCAGCTAACGGATGTGCTTCTTGAGTATTTTCATCACTCAGAAAGTGGTCCGCAGCGCATAACGATTTATAAGACCTTTGTCCTGAGCTTTGGCGATAAGATTAACCAGTTGAAACTGGTAATCCTTGGATTGAAAGCTGCAGCACAATATAAAGGTGATTTCTAGCTTCCACCTCCTGTAAACTTACGCCATCATGCTTACGAAAATATCAATTTTAGATAACCAGGAACGCCTCAAGTTTCTAAAATCCCTTGCTGATAAAGTGAACAAACCGTCGTCCCAAGACGCCTGGGTGTACGCTACTGCAGCTGTCGCACGCGTAAAGCTCGAGCTCTCAGACTATGAGGGCGCTCGCAAAGAGCTGGATAGCGCAGAGCGTGCTTTGGATTCTTTTGACTCTGTGGAGACAGTCGTTCATGCCTCTTTCTATCAAGTCAATGCGGACTTTTACCACGTAAGTATAGCTCAAGGATTGCCCTGTGTTGCGAGAAAAGATGTTAATAGATCCCAGGCCAAGATGGAATTCGCCTCATACTACAAAAACGCGCTTCTTTATCTCGCCTGTATAAACATATCGGATCTCACATCGCCTGGGCGGGAAACTAGAGCTTATGACCTAAGCATTGCAGCACTTGTTTCCGATGACATATATAACTTCGGTGAACTGCTTCTCCACCCTATTTTAGATTCTCTGTCGAATAGCCAACACTCATGGCTTCGTGAATTGTTATTCGCGTTTAACGGTGGAGACTTGGCTGCCTATGATGTTCTTGCAGGAAACATGTCAAAGAACAAGCTTCTTCATGATCATCAGGAGTTTCTCTACAAGAAAATATCGCTTTCTGCCTTGACTGAAGCTGTATTTCGCCGGCCTCCTCATGATCGTACAATGACATTTGCATCCATCTCGAAGGAGACCAAAGTTCAACCTGATGAAATTGAACATTTGGTCATGAAAGCTCTTAGCCTCGGTCTGTTGCGTGGGTCCATAGACCAAGTCTCCCAGATGGCGCGGATAAATTGGGTCCAGCCCAAAGTATTGGACATGAAACAGATTGACAATATGAGAGCGCGACTCAAGGACTGGGACGCCGGCGTCAACCAGCTTGGTAATTGGATCGAAGGCGTAGGGAAGGACGTGTGGGCTGCTTAAATGCAAGGATATTGGTCGCTAATTCTCAGTCTATCGGGATGCAGATCCATTCAAGTACAAGTTGAAGACAACATTATGATAGGTAGCTCTATCTAGCAATGGTATCTGAATTTCGGATAGAATCTGCAAAACATTCTGCCAATTAACACGTCTGAAATCGTCGTCTGTAACTCAATTATTCTTCTTGCCGAAGGGACATGCAGCATCACGTGGCTTTGACATCTAAGATGATTTCTGCGTAATATGCTATCACTTCGCCAGCAACTGTGCAGCTGTACTTTAACTTTATCCTGCATAGATAGCACCTCCAACTCAGGTTTGTCACAAATCTTTTTTATCAACAATGCCACAGGACAGCACTGATGAGCCAAGCTGGCCACCAAAGACACCAAAAAACAACCTGTGTCCACATACCCCAGATATTCCAACCGAATGATGCTTTTTCAAGGATGTTTTCAAGTCGATAATTCCAGTAGCGTCCGGCAAAAAGAACAATAGTCGACGGTGAAAATGCGTAGAGGATGAGGCAAGAGATCAGTTTCGCTGGAGTTGATATGATACCGGGGCCGATAAAGGCTAAAGGAGTTGCCAGAAGTCCTATAAGTAAGGAAAGGGAAAAGTTGAGCGTGGCGAGAGCGGAAAGGCACATTCCTACGAAGAGTAGGGAGAAGGACTTTATCATGAGGATCTGGCTTTCTTTTGGGAGGAAGAGTCGTTTGAGTGCTGTTGCAATACATTGTGGCGCTATTAGGTTGAATCCACACAAAATTGCAAATGCCAACAAAAGAGACTACCGCTATGTTTAGTAGACAAGGCTAGAAAACACAACGAACTTGAACATACCGACTGTGAAGAATGATTGAAGACAAAGAGCGGAGCAAACCCCAGAAAATGCACGGCCCCGACGAACAGTAGAGGCAAAAATAACCTTCTTTTGGGTACAACGATTGAAGAATTCGGAACGAGAGCAAGCATGGTATCTTGCTTGACAAATTCTACACCCTCAGGACGATCTTTAATAAGGTTGCATTTGTCTGAAGCGCAGGAAGTTCGGCCACTCTGGATCCACAAAGCAATGGCCATTATTGTGAAGCTAATCGCGACCAACATCGCACTTGGAAGATAAGTCCCAATGCTTACGAAACGATTGGGTTGCATGAGCAGATAGAAGAAAAAACTCTGGTGGAAATGTTCCAATAGGTTGTTGAGGCTCCTGAAAATGCTTTCCACAGTTCGACCCATGGCCATTTCATCATGCCAACCTTCGCCGACTGCGTGAAGAGTAACTGCATCGACATGGTAAGGAATAAAGCCGCTATGTGGACCAGACGCGTGACCCAGTCCTTGATTGAGCATTCCACGAAGCATAGTCTGCAGCCTTGATTTGTAATTGTCATCGTGCTTCCACATCTGCTGCAAGGTAGTTTTGATACCCATTTGTCCGCTTGCGATTGAAACCACTGTGTTGAAAAGATCAAGATTTGGCAGTTGACCGTTGATCCCATCATAAATAACGTGCAAAGAATCGAATCGATATGGCTGAGCATAATCTAGGGCAATGACCCCCTGCAATGCTCCGCTTTTGAGGGATAGGGAAGCTGCTGAGACAGTGGAATGTGCATCGTGGTAAGCATCAGCCCAAGCCTGGGGTCCGGCAGTACTGTCAGCTGCCACCAAAAATATTATATCCTTTGACCATAAAGACCATCCTTGCATTCAATTAGTACATTATTCCATCATGTGGCAGCTTAGGGGCCAACTTCTGAAGTATCGTGCCAAGGTGAGCACAAGTGCAACCCCATTTACATTAACCCGCCCATCAAGGCTTTTCCATGCACCAACTAAGACTATCGCCTCAGTCGCATCGCCACGAGGAGCAGGAAGTATGGAATATACGTTCTCGCCAGAAGTATTCTTCCCTGAGAAGGTGTAGCGATACTCCTGCCGCGCAGCCTTGAGCCCGGTCGATTCGAAAATTCCAGATATCTTTTGTGGGATTCTAGCTTCAAGATTAATACGATGAAGTAAGGCACCCGTAAAAAATATAAAATATGACATGAACATACAGATCGTTATCTTCTCGGGTCATGGCTTCGACTTCAGCACGATAAGCTTTGAAAATGTGATGCTCACTTCCTCCAAAATATGTGTGTACTTGGCCGGGCAACAACGCGTTTTCCGAAATATAGGTCTGACGGGAATAATCGTTCAGTGGTAAGAGGAATAACCAGATCACGCCAACTACAATGCAGAAGATAGAGAGATAGGGCGGCACAGCTAGGATTCGTCGATGATGCTGGAGCATAAGTCCAGCGGCTTTGGCAAGTCAGCGGCAGGCGCATATATCGGAGAGAATGACTTGCAGATTAATGCCATTTTGACTTCAATTTTTGTGCACTCGGCATAGCATGGCTCTCGCAAACAATCGCGCCATATGTTGCCAAGTTTGACTCAGGGTATATTTGGATCAATTCAGAAAGACGAAAAGTCGCGTTAGGATGTTAGTAAAGCGGGTGATTTAGCCGCGGCGCGCGAGACTAGAGGAAATTGAACATCATTTCCGCAGTGACAGGACGAACTTTTAAAGGAAGAAGCGAACTGTAGTTTGAGTGGGCTTGGTGGCACGTTCAGCCTACCCTTAGCCGCTTTGGAGGTAAAGGAGCCGCCATCCTTGCATGAGTGCCTCAGCCACCAGATTTATCATTCAATCATGCATCCATTCATTCATTCATCCATTTGTTTTCTCAACTTTTGGGTGGTTTATTGTTTTTGGCCACAATTAATTGGTTGCTCTCGCCCAGCTTGCCACTACCCTGTTCTAATTATTCCAAAGGCCTTTCTTCCCCAAGTCATCCGCGCACATATACATTCGACCTTCCATCCTATGAAGATGGTATTCGCCATCTTCTGAACCTATTCTCTTCCCTGAATCATTTCCTCTATTCAAACTCACCGCACGACTATACCCATATCATCCAGCCCGGCCTTGCACTCACTCCCGGCATTGACACATAAACCGCTTAAATCTGATGGTGATATTTGATTCAGATGGCAGATTTTAGGCCCCCACATACTAAAGTGCAAAGTGTTTCAGGAAGTCACACGGATGGAAAGTTATGTGAAACAATAATTAGGCGGACGCTCTCTCAATAAAATATAGTACCAATAAAATATATGCAAACAAACTAGAAGAGCCTCGCTCGTTACAAAACCCATCAACTTCCAAACAACCATTCCAACCCTTTGATTATCATGACAGTTTGTGCGAAGACTGGCAAATACTGTCGTGTCCTCCGAGCCTTGACCGGGAGCAGACATAAATTAAGATTGGTGCGCCTTGGCCATGGTGTTCAGCGCGCTGCCATCCTTGAACCACTCGATCTGGGATTCGTTGAAGGTGTGTGAAAGCTTCGCTTCCCAAGTCTTTCCATCCTTGGGGTGCACCCTCAGAGTGATGGGCTTGCCAACAGCGAGTTCGGTGCAAAGAAGGTCAACCTTGTCATCCGGGTTGATCTTATCGTAATCGGCAGGGTCAGAGAATGTAAGAGGAAGCATTCCCTGCTTCTTCAAGTTCGTTTCATGCTGAATTGAGCGTTAGCTTTGCCAGAAAGATTAGAACCATCAAATAAAAACTTACGATACGAGCGAAGCTTCTGGTGATGATGGCAAGACCGCCAAGGTGTCGTGGTTCGAGCGCCGCATGTTCGCGCGAGCTTCCTTCGCCGTAGTTCCAGTCGCCAATAACTACCCACTTGACTCCCCGCTTCTTGTAGTCTCTGGCAGTTGCAGGGACGGCATCGAATTCGCCAGTGGCGAAGTTCTGAACATTGTTTGCTTCGCCATTCGCAGCATTGACAGCACCAATCAGCATGTTGTTGGAGATGTTATCAAGGTGACCGCGGTACTTGAGCCATGGGCCGGCCACTAAATTATCCTTTTAGCAAAGTTCCATCTTATCAGAAAGGAGTGCACTCACTTGAGATATGATCGGTTGTAGTCTTTCCCTGAGCCTTGATCAAGATGGGAATATCAAGGGCATCATTGCCATCCCAGGCCTTAAAGGGAGAAAGGATCTGGAGGCGATCACTAGAAGGGGAGACAGCGACATTGATAGACTCGCGGTCTGCAGGAGGGGCCTGGTAAGTGTCTCGGCCCGGATCGTAACCCGATGCCGGTAAACCATCACCCTGAGGAGGGGAGAGCAAGAAGTCGTTGCCATCCTTGTCCTTGAGAGTGTCGGTAAGGGGGTTAAATTTCAGGGTTCCAGCCAAGGTCATTGCAACGACAAGGTCGGGAGAGGTAACAAAGGCATGGGTTGCAGGGTTGGCATCATTGCGACCAGTGAAATTTCGGTTGTAGGAGGAGATGATCGAGTTAGGCTCGCCCTTTTTCACGTCACGGCGATCCCACTGACCAATGCAGGGACCGCAAGCATTTGCCAGGACCATACCACCAAACTCCTCAAGAGTCTGAAGTTGACCGTCACGTTCAATAGTAGCACGAATCTGCTCAGATCCCGGAGTCACGGTGAAAGTAGACTTCGCTTTAACTCCGTGATTAAGTGCATCTCGAGCAATGGACGCAGCACGGGACATGTCTTCATACGAAGAATTGGTGCACGAGCCAATCAGACCGACCTTCAACTCCTCAGGCCATTTGTTTGCGTCAACGGCCTCCTTGAACTGGGAAATCGGGGTAGCCAAGTCAGGTGTGAACGGCCCGTTAATGTGGGGCTCAAGCTCAGAAAGGTTGATCTCAATGAGCTCGTCGTACTCAGCGCCATCATCCTCGTGGAGCTCCTTGGCATAGACTCGAGCAAAGTCGCCAATTTCCTTGCGCTTCGTGGCAGCAAGATAATCGTACATGCGATCATTGAAAGGGAAGAGCGAAGTCGTGGCACCGATCTCGGCACCCATATTGCAAATAGTACCCATACCGGTGGAGGAGAGGGAGCTCACACCAGGACCGTGGTACTCAATAATTGCGCCGGTACCGCCCTTGACGGTGAGGATACCAGCAACCTTAAGAATAACATCTAACAGAATACGTTAAAACTCATCTCATGGAACAGCTTCGCAATAAACCTAAAAAAAAGTACCCACCTTTGGGGGAAGTCCATCCAGACAGCTCGCCAGTCAAGCGGACGCCGATAACTTTGGGGGCCTTGAGCTCCCAGGGAAGGTTTGCCATAACGTCAACGGCATCGGCTCCGCCAACTCCGATGGCAGCCATGCCAAGACCACCAGCGTTAGGAGTGTGAGAGTCAGTGCCAATCATCAAACCACCGGGGAAGGCGTAGTTTTCCAGCACAATCTGGTGGATAATACCAGATCCAGGCTTCCAGAAACCGATATCGTACTTCGCGCAAGAGCTGGACAAGAAGTCGTAAACCTCTTTGTTGATCTGTTGCGCCCTGGCAAGGTCTTTCTCGCCACCAACTTGAGCTTCAATCAAGTGATCGCAGTGCACGGTAGTGGGAGTCGCAACTGAGGGCATTCCGGCAGACATGAATTGAAGGATGGCCATTTGCGCTGTAGCATCCTGGCAAGCCACACGATCAGGGCGCAACTTGAGGTAGCTCTTGCCACGCTCGATCTCCTGGCCATGGGGATCATCAAGATGAGAGTAGAGAATTTTCTCAGCGTACGTGAGAGGCTTGTTCAGCCGGGATCTAACAATAGCCAGATTCTCTGACATTTTCCTATCGAATCGGTTAGCATAAACAAACTCAAGACGAAATAACCCCATAGAGTGGGAGAACTATGGCTGGCTCGGGCAAGGCAAGGTTCTTAGACCCATCCACCCAAGCCAGTGGTGCTTTGAAGGCTGGGCATACTTGTAGTTGATGTAATGGCCCTAGATCTCATTGATTAGCCTAATTGAAACAGTCTCACACATTATAGGATTATAAAAGGGGATGATGAGGAAAGAAGGGTCATTGGGTTGAAGAAAGACTTGCAAGGCGGGGGTCTGAGGAGTATTACATACCTTTTCCCAATTGGTCATCTCGACCTTCTTATCGAGAGGGGAGTCGCTAACAGTAGCCAGAGATCGAGACCCGGTGAGCTGGAAACTTCAAGTCAGAAAAGACTCAATTATGAAGCGAAAAGTAATCTCGCAGCACTACTCTCGTGATGCTTCAAACAAAGGGAAGAAATAGCCCATACCATTCGGAGACTGGGAGTCTGCACCCAAGGAAAAATTAGCATTCAATTGCTTTCGCATGATATGATGGTGAAGCGCAGAATCCGAGTCCTGGAGAAAAGGAACGCTGAAACGGATTTTGAGAGAATAAAACTCACCAGTCTCCCGACCCGGGCAATTTGCCTTGTCGAGATCATCTTGGTCGATATCTCTCTCGCAGCCAACCTAAAAGTAATGAAGATCACACTCTCTGGTGATACTGCAGGATTGACACGGGAGGATGGTTGGGTTGGACGAGAGCGACGAGAAGAAGTTGTTCCTTCGGGGCGAAGGAGGAGTCGTTATCAAGAAAGCGCCAGGAGCGCCCGAGGCCTCTTTCGCTGGAGCTAAGCTCGGCAATATTGCGATGTGAAAGCAACCATACCTAAACTGTCACTCCCCAAAAGAAACAAGGAAAATTGCCAATCGACAGCCCCCAATAATACCTGCAAACATCAATGCAATTGGCTCCTGTAAATCTAGTAGGAGAAATATATATATTTTTCTAGTGACTCCATCTGCTTGGCGGTTTTGATGCTACATCTGGGCCGTCAATCGACGAGGGTTTATTTCCCCTTTAGAATTTGTCTCAATTAAAGCACTGAAATCTCGGCCAATAGGAACCGGCTTATTCATTTTTGCCGAGGGGTCATGCCCCCCCAGAAAAGTTTCGCCTGGCCGAAATTCCGCCAGTACCCTCGGTAGTACTGCATTACCAAGTACGTAACTCTGTAGCTTCTGCTCGTGACCTACCCTGTCAAGATGCTTTTCGACCAATGAAAGTAATGCTGATTAACGTTGGCTCAACGGAGGCATCCGTCCCGCAGCAAAATTATAGCAAAAATTCACGTCGGAAAGGGTGGTCATTACGCTTTTGCGAACGGCTTTGGAAAACGACGAAAATTAATCTCCAAGCTATTCGGCGTCATAGTCTGAAATTTTCGTTCTTTCCCTACGATCGGGGCTTTTTCGCGAGACACAGAAATAAATCTTTCGTGTGTCGTGATAAATAAAGGACATTGAAACAATTTGATTGAAAACCGTCTCTCGACTAAGATGGGTTCGATACGGCGCGTAAAAACCAAGAGGCGAACCAGGTAATTGGTTTCTTCCTTCCCACGACCGCTGGGATCAGTACGCTTCCAATAGCTATTGTTTCCTTTCCTTCCTGGCATGATGCACTGTCATTGAAACTGATGCGGCTTTGCGAATCCAGAGATCTTGATCAAGTGCATGCAGACTTGCGTTCCCCAAAGCACTTGTTACAGTACAAAACCTCCAAAGCTGCTGAAGATCTTCCGGGCCTTGGAAAATATTACTGTAAAGAATGTGCCAAATGGTTTGAAGGTGAAAATAGTCTACTCACTCATCGTCGCGGAAAGAACCATAAAAGGAGGTATGCGAGCTTGTTTTGCTATATCAGTAGATGCCTCTGCAGCTGAGGTCGTACATTGGAGTTTTGCTAATATTACTCTGTTCCTGCAGGCTACGTCTTTTGCGTGAAGAACCCTATACTCAGAAAGAAGCCGATGCTGCTATTGGCCTGAGAACAGATAACGGACGCAGTGATAAAGCAAACGCGCAGCCTACGCAGGCTGAGGGTCTGGTCGCTGCGTCCGGTATGGAGGTGGAAACAGCACAATAAAATCTGAGTCTTGGACTTCATCCTGGTTCAAAGAAACAAGACAATCTTGTGCAATTGCCAAATACTGAAACATGTGTCCAAGGTGGCCTACAGCATACGGTTGGGTTCGGCGTTCTAGAAAAGTTGAAATAACATGCGACTTACGGTTGGATCCGGCGTTTTGGGAACAGTCTGCTTTTCAAACTCTTTTTTCGCAGATTATGCACAACCCATTTCGCAATGATTGGGTTTTTTGAGAATGGTTTGCTCAAATGTAATCTCTGCCGCTGAGATGTGCCTCTGGGTTAAAACTTTGCGATCATTTAAATGTAACATCATTTATTTAGTAGAGTAGACATATCCTTTCCGACCTTTCCCTAAAATATGATGAAAATACAAATAACAGACATGAATCAGTGATGAGGCGCGACAAGTGATTTTGTGTGGTGATCGATGGCCAAGGGTTGTCATCTTTCGCTACGGAATTAAATTACTTGCAGAATGAGTATTTCTCGCATCGATGAGATATTAATACACTGGAAGAAACATTTTCGAACCATACAGGACAAAGCCATTTGAAGTTCGTCTCTTTATTCGAACCCAAATACAGAGAGAGTTAGCCTTGCGCAATCTATAATACTTCTGTCTTTGGCCGTGTTGAGTCGAGTTTGACTTTCGAGTCCTGCCCTTTCCTATTATACGGCAAGCGAGCTTCCTCGAGACTCACAAATGGCCACCTTCAGGCACACAGATCTATTCGGCGGAACTATTGTGGCAGATCTGCCCTCTGCATTTGTGGATGCAAGGTAAGTCGAAAGTATTGAATTCCTTGTTCATTCACTTTGAAGACTAAAGGCGGCTTCCTGCTCAGCAACATCCGACAAGTGCCGGATCATCAGGAAGTATATCTTGACAAAGATGGATATACGAGTATTATCTTCGAAATCACCGAAAGAGTCAATGATTTCAATACCGACGAGGAAGCTTTAAGTTACCATCTCCAAGACATAGCTGAGGCAGACGAAGGACTTAACATCTTGTCTTCGAGCACTGCGCATCTTCCTAGCTTACCGTATGGACTCAACAATTATTCCCAACTGCCCGTGCTCACACGTCTCAGACCTGCTGACTGAATATACCGCAGTGATGACACACCGGCTTATACCATTCTGGCCACTCAAGAGCCCATTGCTGGTCATCAAGTGAGCAGGCTGTCGATCAGATGTACGGCTTTACTGCTCACTTTGGTACGTCTTGAAAAGCAAAGTGCCGATCTACTTATCTCAATCAATGTACCTCTATTGAAAGAGGAGTTCCCGGACGAGAGTGTTGACCTGGAAAATGGAGAAGCGGGAACGTCACTAAATGCCGCCATGGCGTACCGCGAGCGTGTTCTCGCCACTCTTGAGATAAAGGATTGGTCTCTATTCGTTTGACAAAGACATTGGTCACGGAGTTATTTCAGCGATAGTATTCCTCTCTCGATGGACAGAAATAATATCGGGTTGTGGCCATAACCACGCTGCTTGCTCTAGAAAGATAGGTTCATTTGAAGGGAGACATGAAACAACTCCCACCATTTCTGCACAGTGTCTGGGAAGCTGTTCGCGAGCGTCTCCTGCAAGGGCATCTTCACTGCTCTATATTATTTATTTTATAATTATTGACAGCTAAGATTAAATTTTATAGTTTCAATTAAAACCACAGTTGGATTTAAAAGGTGGAAAGTAAATTTTCACAAATAAACTACAAATCTTATAAGCAATGGGTTGAATGTCAACTTTGATTTTGAACTGCGAATACTAACTTGATATACACTGCTTAAAGCAAAGCTATACCCATTCAAGGGTCTAATGATGACACCTCTAGTGCTCGAGAGATGACATCCATTTCGAAATCAGGATTGTTATTTTTACCATGTTCATCGCTCTCCAGCTTTACGATTCTGCCCTCGGCCATTTTGTAGGCTTTTCCCAAGAGTCCCATAAGTTCCTTTTGTGTGCAATGAGGGTGATCCTCCCTGATTGTTTTATAGTTATGTTTCACGAAGAGCTGATAACTCGTAGGACCAGCCATTCGAGGTGAAGGACGTGTTTGAACAAGCTGGGACTTGCAATTACCGCAAGCATGCCGCCGAGGATCGATCGATTTCGAGTGTCGCTTATATTCTAGTCCGCAATCCTGACATTGCCAGGTATATTTGTAGTTGATATCATATGAGTGCTTAGTTGTTACGAGAATGCCACGATTTCCAAACAAAGTTGAACACTTTCTTGCCCTGGTTTGCATGATTAGTTGAGTCCTTAGAAAAGCTTGGCTCACAACCTTTCGTCCATTTGTTGAGATAGTCGGTAATCGGATTCAAGGGAAAAGAAAGAGAGAAACAGGTTGAGCACACTACCATTCTTTGAAAGCTTTCCCGTGCGGTTTATCTTGAATGTTATCTATCATGAAGGTTGCGAGATGACAATATTCATGAGCAATCACATTTAGAAGGCGATCTTACCCGGAAAGAAGTCAGCACTGCCCGCTCGCAAGTATACGTTGCAGCTTACCATTATTGTTGATAACTTTCTCCGCTAATTCTATCGAAGCATGATGTCGATATTGCGCCGATCGGTTGCTATTAGCTGTACCTGAATTGATCACTTCCCGCTTCCAATTTGCTCTTCCAGCTGTTGTGTTCAATTTTTTACTCCAAACCAATCGAACACCCCCTCCTGATGCAGTTAACTCAGCAATCTTTCCACCTGTGATCTTCAGATCGAGCTCTGTTAGGAATGATTCGCCAAGGTCATATTTCTCTTGATCAAATTTTCTCTTGTTTGGGCCCGCCAGATGATCGATTCTTTTATTTATTCCGTGCTGTGCCATTTTATCACTGGACCTTGAAACGGCATCCTTATTTTGTCCTTGGTCTTGTAGCGGCACTAATTCGTCCTGGTCATTTGCTTTATCGATCCTTGTTTGACTCAAGAATTTGTCGTCGCCTTCCTTGTGAACATAGGGAGAATTACCTTTTCTCTTCACTGAGAATCGCTGCTTTGGATAGAGCTGCGGAGGTGTCAGGCGTGAGGTACTTCCCGCTGAGGAGAACTTGGAGGGAGATTTGGTGTTTGGAGGCGAACTATCATGTTGTAAGTTATCGTAGTCATCGGAAGCGGCAGCAACAACATACTAGATAAGAATAGCCCCAGTATCAATTTCTGGAAAGCTCGCCCGTTCATTTTGAAGTTTCTGGCATTGACCAGTATCCGTATTCACTCTTTTGCACCCAGCCGCCTCAACACATTCAGGCTCTTGCCCACTTGATGAGCTTTCGGCATAGAGATAAGAGATGTCAGGGATCCAGGTCCTGCGAGAATTTTCAAGCGGATGAAAGGGTTCCCTTTTCGAATTCCATTTCCTTGACAACATTTGATTGTTCTCTTGGAGTCTCGAAAAATCTCCCTTTATTTGCGGCTGATCCACCACAACCAAAGTTTGCCGATCGGATGCAACGTTATAATGGGGTGATTTCAGGCAAATATGGGAATTTGGGCAAGCTTCTCCACTAGACGGGATCAATTCAGATTCGAAATGCGATCTGAACATGTCAATTTTTCCTGGCATTCTCTTCTGGGATTTCCTGGGCGGCGTATTTGAGCACCCCCTTTCACCTTGATAGGATGCCTCATTACCATGAAGCTTTTTGCAGTGGTCTTCGTTTGTTATTGCTGTCTGCTCATTGAGTGATTGTGAGTTCTTCTTGGTCCACTTCTCACAGTGCCGGTCTAAAAATTCATTCGATTGAATTTCAGTATCGACGATCCTTTGAGAAAGCTGAAACGTGGCCAGATCAATATCTGGAAACTCGTCATCACTATCAATGTGAAGACGTGCCATATCAATCAAATGAAGCTCAGGCTTTGTGGTTGACTCGGGGAATTTAAAAAAGCAAGCCAGCATCATGTATTGACATCAGGGCAAAGTTGACAATCGACCAGTAGTTGACCGGCCAACGGGACACGTGACATAGGTTCTGCTACGTCCGCTCTGTAAAATTGGTTCACTTCGGGGTGTAGAACGATTTGCAGCGTACAGTGCTCTGGAAAGTATTTGTGTTCAAACATATGCTCAAGTCGGAAAAGGTCTCGCAAAAAAACCTGTGTTAATTACAAAGGGTGAATTGACGCGCATGCAGCCACTCCCAAGCACACTATCACACCGCATCCATACCAATTGAGCGCGGGCTGCTCGTATACCTATTTCGTATTTAATAGGGATTCTGGGACTTCCATGTAATGAAAATAAACCATCGAGATTGGATAATCTTTGAATTACACTCAATGAGGACTGATCAGAAATACTGACTGCACCGCATATGTCGGCTTTCCTTTGCATGCTTTGTTGTTCAATCTCAAACTTCCCCTTCCCGAACTACCTACCAGCGTTAGTGGAGGCCGTAGCAATGGCATCAACCGAGAATTAGTTAGATTCAATATCATTTCTGGATTGTATACCGCATGGTTAGATCGGACGCAGACAAGTTTACACAAGGAAAAAGTGATTTCCGATTGAATAGTATGCTTCAATAACAAATTTTACTTTCAGCCTACAGATCCGCCGTAAGGAGCGAGCATAAACGCTTGACAAAACAACCGTAGGTTGGAAAAGAACATCTTGAAAAGGAACTGCACATAAGCAAAGCCGGATAAACCCTTATGAACTTCACCATTTAGGCATTCCGAAAAGTATAAAAAGCAGCTGGAAAAATTGAAGATCGTTACGCTTAAAGCAACAGCATACCAGCTCCGGTAAGGGCGGCACCAAGGACGTATGCGCCCAACTGAAGCATTCCCAAGTTTAGAACTGGTACATTCATCATGGACGCAGCACCGGTGTGAGTGCTGGTGCCGGTCGATCCCGACTTAGTACCTGATGCAGCACCGGCACCAGTGCCTGTAGGTACAGAGGTAACAGTTCCAGTTCCAGCAGTGCCCGCCTGCGAAAGCAGCGAAGAGCATGCACCCTGAGCAGAGGTAGGTGACTGGGTATGGGCGACTCCATTGAAATCACAGGCGCTAGGGTTCTGCTTTGACTCCTTGTAATAGGCATTAGCAGCCCATGAAAGTTGTTCCGTAGCATTACACATGGAGTATGCTCCGTAAACACCGGAAGTGCCATTGGCAGTGATTCCGTCGCAAGCAGACTGTGACTGGCCACAAATGTAACCGAAAGTTTTGCCGACTGTTTCGTCAGAAACGGACGATTTGGCAACACAGCTTAGAGATTCGAACATGCAGCTGCAGAGTTCCTTGTTCGGGGTAGGCGGAAGTGCTGTTGCCGCTTGCCACGCAGTGCCACTGGCCGGGCAGTTTTGAGCCTTCGTGTTGGTGGGTGTATAGGAGGCAGCATTGACCCCGGTAGGAGTAACCTTTGCAATCTGACTTGACAGAGCCGTGAAATCATCGAGCTTGGAAACCGAATTGCCGTCGATAGAAACAAGACCTTGTTTGTGTTAATGAATTCCACTAAAGTGGCGAGAAATGGCAGAAACATACCATAGTCATTGGCCTCTTGGAAGTACATGTAGACAATACCACCAGACCAAACTGGGGTCATCTCAGAACCGTACAAAGCCCCAACTTCTGTGAATTTCCGAGGAGATGGGGTGTTGCAACCGTATTCGGCAAAAAAGGCTGGAACTGAATAGTTCGAGAACTCCTGAGTTCTGTCCGCGTATCCCGATTGTTGATACGACGAATCTCCACACCATGAGTAAATGTTGTATCCCCAGAAATCGATGCTCTCTTCAGGCGAGCCACAATTGAAGTAGTCCGCTAGATCTGTTCGAATGCTTGCGTCATCATTGGTGGCATAGCCGACTCCAATCTGACGATAGTTGTTTTGCTTGATATAGGCTTTCATATCACGAACCGCAGCTTTCACGAATGCGCTGGCGTCGGTGTTTGAGGCATTGTTGGAGACTTCGTTACCAGCAAAAAATCCAAGGACATTGGTATAATTTTGGAGAGAATCAACCACGCTGGCATAACGTGCGTAGATCTGGTCATTCCAGGTCGGAGAATCACGATTAATAGACAAACCGGGTTGTGAAAGGTCTGCAATCACATAAATGCCTGCATCCTGAAGCATTTGCATGCATTGCGAGTGATCTTGTTCAGGATTGATCGCGTAGACACGAACCGTGTTGGTCTGGAGTTCTTGGAGCACTGGGACATCACGCTTGCAGCCGTCCGGATCGGCGAGAGGGTCAGAGTAGTCGTTGCTGCCAGATGTTCCGTTCCCACTGAAATCCTCTGGGTTGGGGAAATGATAGTTAGAGCAATGCCTGCATTAAACAGTGTCGATAACTTACGTTGGTACGCGACACCTTTGATGAAGCTGTAATGTTTTTGTAAGTATTGGGCTAACGTTTGTATCCATATGAGATACTCACAACTCTGTTCCATTCGTCTTGTAGAAGAATTTAGAGCCCTTCACGAATTTAGTAACGAGAGCTTGGATCCTCCACCCGCGTATTAGGGACCGTACCTTTATCACAATCGGGTCGACATCTGCATGGGCCGTGGAGGCAAAAAAGGCTGCGACAGCAGCAATCGTTGTAGACGCGAACGCAGCAGCCTTCATGGTGACAGTCACCCAAGTAATATCTAGCAGACTGCTGATGGAAGCGTGGTGTTCCGGTCGAACCAACCGTGTGTTAAGAGCTCAGAGCGAGCGCGATGGACAGTGAATAGCAAGCCCTGCTACGGTTATGTGGGTAGAGCGAACGATGGAAGCTATTTGAAAAAGTGGACAGACAAGACTTTCGCCAGGATAGGCGTGGTAGTAAAGAGCGTACGAACAGAAGAAAAGATGGAAAGTACACAAAGACTGGGCACGATTAGGGAGGAAAAGAACGCGGTTGTAAAGAGAGAGGTAAGTTCTCAGGGCGAAGCCGAATTTAGGCAGAGCGGTCTCCTGGGTCGAACCTTCGATTCGACAAACCCATGTCCGCCGTGGCAACCCACAGTCTTGCGCTAGTTCTACACTCGGTGAGCTCACCCATGTGTATGTCCAGGGGGCGCCCGGCCATAACGGGTTCCATTGGACGGAGATACAGTGAAGAAATGAGTACGAAGGTAGCGAATCGCTGGTAGGGGGTTTGGTGTGTTACGACTAGTGTGATTGGAGTGTACCATTGCATTACAGTATTGCCATTTAAGTATCGGCTAAGCAAGTTTTACCAGCCACATTTTAGTGGTATCCTCGGTCATTCTCAAGTGACCGACCGTAATCGCCCTCCTTAAAATCATCCCAGCAACGGTGGATGTGAACGACGCGCAAGCCTTTGGCGGAAGGATGCGAGATGACCGAGGGCCCTCGGGCATCCACCCATTCCATTCTGCATTACCATATTCAGAGGTACAGTACGGATACAGGACCCGCAGATCGAAATTTGTCAAGGGCAACCAATCAGGCTCACAAAATAGAAGAATGATTACGTCAGGTAAAGCAATCAAATTTGGGAAAGACAACTGGATCACGTTACGGAGACTATGGTACTTTCAATTTCTCCATGTACAGAGCGTGGGAACTTCTGTCGTGCGAAATTTGGCGAAGCCGTCGTCTTCCTTTTTATTTGGTCTGGCGCCTAATTAATTGACCATGACACCACAGCAAAGCCTGGTAGGCCAGCATTGCCACTCTGATCCAAGGCTTCATTGAATAAGCTGTAGCACAGTATCTTGGCTTTCCCGTGCCAAATTACGCACGGTTCTTCGTATTTCATGCTCAAGGCTGAAAAGCCCTGTTTATTAAGCTTTAAGGAGGTGTAGCGAATTATCCCCGGAATAAGTTACTCTAAAGTACGTATATGAGCTGCCACGCGCTCCTCGCAAAAAGAGGAAGCTAACAAGGCCGAGAGATAAGAGTACAGTATTGTAACTGAGTGGCTTAGACCGCACCCTCCGACAGACATACTCGATAGTAACGCAAAGAAGGCATGACCCTGACGGCCAGTCAATTTCAAGTATGGTACTTTGTACTTTCAATGCGAAGTGAGAAGTCTTTCGCCGTAATCTTCATCATCCTATTGCCCCGATCGCAGGCTCTTTGTCCGTCTTTCGTGGCTTGCCCCTATATAAACCCGCAGCCACTATTAAGCCGTTCCCGCGCCGATACACTTTTAAAATTGCCCATGTGGACAGAGCAGAGCAGGACTGCATTTCAAAGCCCATATGAAAACATTGATATCGACTCTCCCTAAGGTCCTTTGTCCATGTGGCCCCGGTGGTACGTCCCATGGAAATGTCCTCCGATAAGTACGGGACCTGGTGATGGTGGTACCAAAGAGTTTTGCTGAGGACGTTGCCAAATAACCAATGCTAACTACTTGCAGTAAGCAGCAGGGGATTCATGCCGAGACGTTCTCAACCATTCCCCTGGTGGACAGGCCTATTGCCCCATCAAGCCGCGCCGCCCCTTTCTATTTTTGCATCGCTAGATCGCGTTTAGGTACCTATACCTGTAACGCTGGCTGCCTGCGACATGAACAGGTTATTTGCCACACCGGGTGATACGTGCAATTGGAACTTTCGCCCCTTAAATCACTTCGATTATTGGTGGTTTTCCTCGTTCCCTTTTTTTTTTTTTTTTCCCTTTTTTCTTTTTTCTTTTTTTTCTTTTCTTTTTTCCCCTTTCCGCCCCCCTTTTCATGTTTGACTTTGAAGGGATCAGAGGTGATGGCCATTGCTTTCTCCATGCCGGGCGTCCCAAGGCGCTTATTATTCAAGTAGATGTATGGAAACGACTTTCCTATACCAAACCTGCTTGGCCAATTAAGAGCCATATGCTCCAAAAGTCGTAAATATTAGGTAGATTAGAGGACCCGACTGGACATTTGTATGGAGCTCTCTTCAGTCAGGATATTGATAGAATTGGCCCCTATCCCGGGCATTAAACTAGGCCCTAAGGCATCGAATCGTCAGCGGATCCCCCGATCGACGATGGGGGGTCCATAAATTGTTAGCTAAGATAGGCATAAGGATAAAGGAGAAGGGCGGAGTTTTGTCTGGGAGTGGGCCGCCTTAGTGCGTGGCCTAGTAGCGAAACTCAAGTACCAGTACTTGTACCTGGCAGAGCCGACCGACCCACATCCATCCCGCTAAACGATGCCCGGCCGGCTGTCTTCCTGTTTTGATGTGGGTTGCGCCTCCTTAGCGAAACGATCCGCGACATTCCTCCCCTCTTTTCTCCTGGCGCTTCTCCCCATCTTGACTTCTACTCTCCGACTACATCTTCCTGTCTTTCGTTCAATAAATTGTGTACCGTCTTTGCCTTCTTTAGAAGCGGTACATTTCTTCTGCAGCGTTGTTCTGCGAAGGACTCTGTTGCAAAGACGCCCTTCCAAAAGGACTGGCGACGAGAGTCTTGCAGATACCAGCGACTAATAGGCCCTTGAGGCAACATTCCTTCCATTTCGTTTCATTCGTTCTGAGTTTGACGACGCGATTTTCGGTTCAATAGCAAAATTACTCTATCTGAGTTTTCGTGTCAACGGCGCGCGTATTTTCAGAGAAATTGCTTTGTTTGGAGCCTTTTTTTAAGGGACTGAAAACTGGTTCTGTGGCCAACTTGAACTACGAGCGAGCCGTGCCCCTTACTTTTTGACTTTCTTACGTGTTTTAACGTCGAAAATCTCTTTAATGGGACAATCGGTCAAGGTAGAGCATCCTCTACATTCTGCTTTTGTCGCCCCGTTGGAGGACGGCCCCTAATCCCCGAACTACCTCACTAATGTTGTTTCAGGTATTCCATTGAACTGACCATGTCGGCACAACCACACGGCCAGTACGACGATGCCTATGGGCATCATCCTGAATCAACGGGTTCGTACTACCAGGATGATGCAAACGAAGGATACTATGACCATCAGCGAGACTACCAACAGCCGCAGGCTGGAGAAGGGTATTATGATGACGCGTGAGTCATGTCTCGATACCACTGTCAGAAAAACACGTGAGCTAAATGGATATCTAGGGGCTATTACAACGCGGAAAATACCAACCCGTACCAAGAGGGTGGCTATTACGATGCCCATCCCCAGGGGTATCAGGATGAGTACTATCATGACCAGTACTACGACCAGAATGCCGCTGCAGGAGCTCAACCAGGGTATGGGTAAGTTTTGAAGTGCACATTCTCTAGGATATCATTATTGACGATTCAAAAGACCAAAGGGGAAACGTCGTGGTCCCGACTCTGAAGAAGAATCGGAGACTTTCAGTGATTTCACCATGAGGTCGGACATGGCTCGCGCCGCTGAACTGGATTACTATGGCCGTGGCGACGAAAAATATAATAGCTATGGCGACGGTGCCATGGGTGCAAGGGGCTATCGTCCTCCTTCCTCGCAGATCTCCTACGGTGGAAATCGATCTTCCGGTGCATCAACGCCCGTTTATGGGATGGATCATCCAAACGTCCTGCCGGCTGGTCAGCGATCCCGTGAGCCTTACCCGGCGTGGACTTCAGATGCGCAGATTCCGCTCTCCAAGGAAGAGATTGAAGATATATTCCTTGACTTGACCGCCAAATTCGGCTTTCAACGCGACAGCATGCGTAACATGTACGACCACTTCATGACGCTGTTAGACTCTAGGGCTTCGCGCATGACGCCGAACCAGGCGTTACTTTCTCTTCATGCTGATTATATCGGTGGAGAGAATGCTAACTACCGGAGATGGTACTTCGCGGCTCACCTTGATCTTGATGATGCTGTTGGATTTGCAAACATGAAGCTCGGAAAATCTAGCCGACGTGCTCGAAAGGCTCGAAAGGCGGCCAAGAAGAAGGCGCAACAGGACCCTCAAAATGAGGAGCAAACCCTGGAATCTTTGGAAGGCGACAACAGCTTGGAAGCAGCTGAATATCGGTGGAAAAGCAGGATGAATCGCATGTCCCAGCACGATAGAGTAAGACAGGTTGCACTCTACTTGCTTTGCTGGGGCGAAGCCAACCAAGTGCGATTCATGCCTGAAGCGCTCTGCTTCATTTTCAAATGTGCTGATGACTATCTGCATTCACCGGAGTGTCAGAACAGAGTCGACCCCGTCGAGGAGTTCACCTATCTAAATGAGGTGATTACTCCTCTCTATCAGTACTGCAGAGACCAGTGCTATGAGATCCAAAATGGAAAATACGTTCGACGGGAAAGAGATCACGAGAAAGTGATTGGTTATGACGATATCAACCAGCTTTTCTGGTATCCAGAAGGGATTGAAAGAATCATTTTTGAAGATAAGACTCGGCTTGTCGACTTCCCTCCCGGAGAGCGTTTTTCGAAGCTGAAGGATGTCAACTGGAAGAAGGTCTTCTTCAAGACGTACAAGGAAACACGTTCTTGGTTCCACATGCTGGTTAACTTCAACCGTATCTGGGTCATCCATGTCTGCACATACTGGTTTTACACTGCTTACAATTCGCCATCTTTATACACCAAGGATTATAAGCAACAGATTGATAACAAACCCACACACGCTGCTATGTGGTCGGCACCTGGCTTTGCTGGCACGATCGCCTCTCTTATCGAAATCGCTGCCACCATTTGCGAATGGGCCTATGTGCCTCGAAAATGGGCTGGCGCGCAACATCTGACTAAGCGGCTGCTCTTCCTGCTGCTTGTGTTCGCTGTCAATCTTGGACCGGGAATTTACGTATTTGGAGTGAACCAACATGGTAAAATTGCCCTTATCCTTGGAGTAGTGCAATTTTTTATCGCTATTGCTACCTTCTTCTTCTTTGCGGTTATGCCGCTTGGAGGATTGTTTGGCAGCTACCTCACTAAGAACTCGCGTCAGTACGTGGCCAGTCAGACTTTCACTGCCAGCTACCCGCGTCTTCGGGGAAACGACATGTGGATGTCTTGGGGACTCTGGTTTTTGGTGTTCCTTTGCAAACTCGTTGAATCTTACTTTTTCCTCACTCTCTCTCTACGAGACCCCATCCGAATTCTAGGGGAAACGAAGATTCACCGGTGTGCGGGTGATGGCATCATTAAGGATAAACTCTGCTATCACCAGCCCAAGATTCTACTCGGATTAATGTTCTTTACCGATCTTGTGTTCTTCTTCCTCGATACCTATCTCTGGTACATCATTTGGAACACAATCTTCTCGGTAGCCAGATCTTTCTATCTGGGCGTATCAATTTGGACACCATGGAGAAACATCTTCTCGCGTTTGCCGAAACGTATTTATTCAAAGATTCTCGCCACAACTGATATGGAAATTAAGTACAAACCGAAGGTGTTGATTTCTCAGATTTGGAACGCCATTGTCATATCGATGTACCGGGAACATCTTCTTGCTATCGACCACGTACAGAAGTTGCTCTATCATCAAGTCCCTTCTGAACAAGAGGGAAAGAGAACTCTCCGTGCACCGACCTTCTTCGTTTCCCAGGAAGACCATTCGTTTAAGACGGAGTTCTTCCCCCCCTTGAGTGAGGCGGAACGACGTATTTCGTTCTTCGCGCAGTCGTTATCCACCCCCATTCCCGAGCCTTTGCCTGTGGACAACATGCCGACCTTTACGGTTTTCATTCCTCACTACAGCGAGAAGATCCTTTTGTCGCTCCGTGAGATTATTAGAGAAGATGAGCCATTCTCCCGAGTCACATTGCTAGAATATTTGAAACAATTGCACCCGCATGAGTGGGATTGCTTTGTTAAGGATACAAAGATTCTGGCGGATGAGACTTCTCAATTTAATGGAGACTACGAAAAGACTGAAAAGGACACGGCCAAAGCAAAGATTGATGATCTGCCATTCTATTGCATTGGGTTCAAGTCTGCTGCACCTGAATATACTCTTCGCACACGAATCTGGGCTTCATTGCGTTCTCAAACTCTGTATCGCACGATCTCTGGTTTCATGAACTACTCGCGCGCCATAAAGCTGCTTTATCGCGTGGAAAATCCAGAAGTGGTCCAGATGTTTGGCGGCAATTCTGACAAGCTGGAGAGGGAACTCGAGCGAATGGCGAGGCGCAAGTTTAAGATTTGTGTTTCGATGCAGCGATACGCCAAGTTTACCACGGAAGAACGTGAAAATACTGAATTCCTTCTGAGAGCTTACCCGGACTTACAAATCGCATACTTGGATGAGGAACCACCGGTAAATGAAGGAGAAGAGCCTCGACTCTACTCTGCACTCATCGACGGCCACTCGGAGATCCTGGACAATGGAATGCGACGACCGAAATTCCGAGTCCAACTTTCTGGCAATCCAATCCTCGGTGACGGAAAGTCTGACAATCAGAATCATGCCATTATCTTCTACCGCGGCGAATATATTCAGCTCATTGATGCCAACCAAGACAACTACCTCGAAGAGTGCTTGAAGATTCGCAGCGTCCTTGCGGAATTCGAAGAGATGACTACCGATAATGTTTCTCCATATACTCCAGGCCTACCATCCACGAGGTTTAACCCGGTCGCCATCCTCGGCGCTCGTGAATATATTTTCTCTGAAAATATTGGTATACTCGGTGACATTGCGGCTGGAAAGGAGCAAACCTTTGGTACACTCTTCGCTCGGACCTTGGCACAGATTGGTGGAAAGCTTCACTACGGTCATCCTGACTTCCTCAACGGTATATTCATGACTACTCGCGGCGGTGTTTCCAAAGCGCAGAAGGGACTTCACCTCAACGAAGATATCTACGCAGGTATGAATGCCGTGCTTCGTGGAGGTCGGATTAAGCATTGCGAGTATTTCCAATGCGGCAAAGGTCGTGACCTTGGTTTCGGATCAGTCCTCAATTTCACCACCAAGATTGGTACCGGTATGGGTGAGCAAATGCTGTCCAGAGAGTACTACTATCTTGGCACTCAACTTCCTCTTGATCGATTCTTGTCATTCTACTATGCTCACCCCGGGTTCCATTTGAACAACCTTTTCATCATGTTGTCCGTCCAATTTTTGATGGTTTGTGTCATGAACCTCGGAGCTCTTCGGCATGAAACAATTATGTGCCACTTCAAGCGTGGTATTCCTCGTACCGATCCTCGAACTCCGACTGGGTGTGCTGATCTCCACCCTATATTGGACTGGGTGAGGAGATGTATTGTGTCTATTTTCATCGTCTTTTTCATCTCATTCGTTCCACTGGTTGTCCAAGAACTCACAGAGCGAGGGTTCTGGCGCGCTGCAACGCGTTTGGCGAAGCAGTTCTCTTCGCTGTCGCCTTTCTTTGAGATCTTTGTCACTCAGATATATGCCAACTCCCTCGGACAAGATCTCTCTTTTGGAGGTGCCCGATACATTGGCACTGGTCGTGGTTTTGCGACCGCCCGAATCCCATTTGGCGTGTTGTATTCACGTTTCGCTGGCCCGTCGATCTATCTTGGAGCACGTGCATTGCTGATGCTCCTCTTCGGAACGGTCACTGTCTGGGTCCCATGGTTTCTCTACTTTTGGGTTTCGCTTCTAGCTCTTTGCATTTCGCCTTTCCTGTTTAATCCGCATCAATTTTCCTGGAACGATTTCTTCATCGACTACCGGGACTACCTTCGGTGGTTATCTCGCGGCAACTCCCGCTCTCATGCATCTTCCTGGATCGCATTCTGTAGACTTTCGCGGACTCGGATTACTGGCTACAAGCGCAAGATACTGGGTGATCCATCTCAGAAGCTGTCAGGCGATGCGCCTCGGGCACACTTTACAAACTTGTTTTTTGCCGAGATCGTGGGCCCGTTGGTGTGGATTGGTGTATCACTTATTCCTTACTTGTTCATCAATGCTCAAACTGGAGTCAAGAATCCCCAACCAGCCTCAAACGCGTTGATTCGAGTCGCTATCGTCGCCATGGGACCTGTTGCGGTCAACGCTGGAGTTTTGCTCGGTTTCTTCGGAATGGCATGCTGCATGGGGCCACTTCTGAGCATGTGCTGCAAAAAGTTTGGCGCTGTACTTGCCGCAATCGCGCATGCTATTGCCGTCATTGTTTTACTTGTCTTCTTCGAAGTCATGTTCTTCCTGGAGGGCTGGAATTTTGCCAGAACATTGCTCGGTATGATTACCGTGATCACTATCCAGCGTTTCTTCTTCAAGTTGATCATCTGCCTCGCTCTCACTCGAGAGTTCAAGCAGGACTCCGCAAACATCGCTTGGTGGACTGGAAAGTGGTATGCCATGGGCTGGCACTCTATTTCGCAACCAGGTCGAGAATTCTTGTGTAAGATCACTGAGCTCGGCTTCTTCGCTGCGGATTTCATTCTGGGACACTTTATTCTATTCTTAATGCTCCCTGCCCTTTGCGTGCCATATATTGACAAGTTCCATTCCGTCATGCTCTTTTGGCTGCGTCCAAGGTAAGCCGATTCATCATTATCTTTAATTCCAGACGCTAATTCGATCTACAGTCGACAAATTCGACCTCCCATCTATTCGCTCAAGCAGTCCAAACTTCGGAGGAGACGTGTCATTCGATTTGCCATACTCTATTTTGTCATGGTCGTTATCTTCGTTGCTCTTATTGCGGCTCCTTTGGTCGCCGGTAAAGTTGTACACAATCTGCCCTCAATTCCTTTCGACCTGCGTCAACCTACGCATCAGAACAACAACGACACTACGAATCTTCGAACCGGAACCGCTTTGATTCCCGTTGGCTCCTCTCCCACTGCTAGTTCGGAAGCATCTTCTGGAGCCGCGTCATCGGCATCCTCATCTTCAAAATTGAGATTTTTCTAATTTGATTGATGTGGAGGGGCACTTGTCCATTTTCAAGTGGCAAGCTAGAGTTTATTACTCGCGTCGGGATAGGGAGGGTTCTAGATGGAGGCTCTCTCCGCCCTGGGAATATGCACATTCATAAACGCTTTTCATTTTCTTCGCCTTCTTCTTTGTAAAGCTGCCTTCCACCGCTGCGTGGTGGCTGCGGCTACTTCGACCGTAATATTTTTATATTAGAGCACATCTGGGCATTGCGAATATCAGAAATTTCTTACTCATGAAAATTACGTATTATTTTGTACTTTGCGTTGAATAAGTGAGAATATTTGAGCGGTTCAGCGCGCACCTACCTAAGCGGTCGTCTTCCAACACGTGATATAATATGATTAGTGCGGGCTGTTCGGCTATGCGGTTGACAATAAAAGCATCAGTGTTCCCGGGTGCCCCGTTTCGTTCCGGTTAAGGGGCCGTCGGCGCGTCAGAAAGTCTCACATTTGCGAGAACAGCCTTAAGAATAGATTGTTGACCTCTTTTTAGGTTGGACTCGTAACAACGTCTCTCTACGCTGAACCGAGATGGATTTGCAGGATATGCAGCACTCCCTCCGTCACGCCTTTAGGGAGCTGGCTGTTCACGTTCAAAGACTACCTGGTTCAGCGATAATATTGCGATACATCAAGTCAAGCTACCAAAACGATCCAGTACGATCGGCAGTTGAGCTATTCCTATTTCTCTTTGCCGTCAGATATCTTCTTTCCTCGAAATATTCAACACAAAAGCAGAACTATGTGTCACTGTCAGACGAGGTACATTAATATGGTTGTTCATCCGGACTATTGGATTCCTGTCAATAACAGTACCTAGGAAATAGATGAATTGGTTGAAGATTGGAGTCCTGAACCATTAGTTCCGACACAAAGTACTTTCGAGATAGCTGAGAACGAGAAGAGGCCTGTCATTGTTGGGTTCGCAATCCACATCACAATTTTTTACGGCAAGCGCTAAAATTCGCAGACCTACAGGCCCTAAAACCAAGTTATCCAATGGCCGTACAGTCTCGAACCTAGCATCTTTTAATTTCTATAATTTTGTCGCCAACGAGAGCCTTAAAGAGAAGGCAATTCAGACCCTGCGAACTTATGGAGTCGGCCCATGTGGACCACCAGGGTTCTACGGGACCCAGGACGTTCACATGAAAACGGAGGCAGATATTGCCGCACATCTGGGTACTCCGGCGTGTATAATATACTCTCAAGCGTTTTCAACCATCTCCAGCGTCATTCCAGCTTTTTCTAAGAGAGGAGACATAATTGTGGCAGACAAGTCGGTCAATTATGCGATTCGAAAAGGTCTACAGATATCGAGAAGCACGGTTCGCTGGTTTGAGCACAATGACATGACCGATTTGGAAAGAGTCTTAGAGAAGGTGGTAAATGAACAAGCAAAAAAGCCCTTGACCCGACGCTTCATAGTTACAGAAGGACTGTTTGAGAACGTTGGAGATGTCGTCAATTTACCAAAGCTCGTATGTCTTTTCTCATTACTTGGAAAGCAGCACTGACCGTGATTGGCACCAGATCGAGCTGAAGCTGAAGTATAAGTTCAGACTGATCCTTGATGAGACCTGGTCCTTCGGTGTTCTTGGAAGGACTGGCAGAGGTGTTACTGAGCAACAGAACGTCGATGCAGCTGAGGTTGATATGATAGTGGGCTCCTTGGCGGGTCCTTTGTGTGCAGGTGGAGGATTTTGTGCTGGTTCGAACGAGATTGTAAAGCATCAGCGAATCACAGCCACAGCGTATACTTTCTCTGCCGCTCTCCCTGCCATGCTAGCCACAACAGCTAGTGAGACAATAGGTTTGTTACAAAGCACACCTGAGATAATTATTCAACTTCGCGAGAACATCAAAGCGATGCGCACCCAACTTGATCCTCGCAGTGATTGGGTCTTTTGTACGAGTTCTACCGAAAGCCCTCTCATGCTTTTAGCGTTGAAACCGAGTGTTGTTGTTTCGAAAAATCTTAGCATTGGCGATCAAGAGTCACTCCTTCAAGACATTGTTGATGAGGCAAGTTTCCCTAGCTTTTCAATTTAGGCTAGAGGTTCGCTCACTAATATTACCAATTCTTAACCACAGACACTCGTCAATGGGGTTTTAATCACTCGCCTCAAGTCAGTCCCCGCTGACCTGAACTCTACGCCGCGCGATCCAAATTGGTATCAGCAGCCGGCTCTCAAAGTTTGTATCACTACAGGTCTTTCGAAAAAGGAAATCGAGAGAGCTGGGGTTACTATTCGGCATGCCATCACAAAGGTCATGAACAAGCGGAAATAGCCTTCTCCTATCTGCAATGAGCCTAAATGCATCTTTGGTGTCCTTGGACTTTTAAAAGGCAGCAGACTTTAGAATTTTAGTTTTTTCGATTTCTAATAGCGTGTAATGTATAATATCTACTCAAAAATTGGAGATGTTGTAATTCTGCAGAATTGTAAAGTATTTGTAGATATTTATGAACGGACATTCCATTTGAAGGAAGGATTTTAAATAGTGAGATTAGCCAAATTCTCCTCTGATGATTGAGCATATAGTAATGCCGGAGAAAAGTAAGCCCGTTACCTGAATATTTATTGGAATCGCTGCTATATAGAAGTAAACTGAATAATATATTGTTATGTGGTACTTATGGTCATTTAGAGTAACTGAATCGAGAGGATTGTATTCCATGTGCTGTGCTGTTTCCCACGAGTTTAGTAATATCGGTGGTAGGTATCTCCGGGAGCCTACCACCGAGTGATATAAGATGATGGCGCAGCAAAATCTCCTGGACAGGGCTGAGGACTTGACGGTTATATTTATTGAGGGGTATGTATGCAGTTGATTCTTTGAAAATTATGATCATTCATCTCGGTCACTGGCATGGTCTTCAGAAAATGCTTCCAGGGACATTTGCTGAGAATTCAGGAGTATTGACCGAAATAGCGCCAAAGAAAGATAAACACAGGGCGACGGCCCATTTTGATAGTCTTTCATTAGTTTTGCGAGTCGCAAGTGGTTTTCAAAAACTGCTTGCCAGAACGAAAGTCTTGTTCGAGGGATGTTGTCAATTCGAGAGACCACATACTCCGTACGGAGGTAGCCATTGTTCTACGAGCACCTTTGTATTTTACGCGCATAGTTATTTCTCGCCATAGTTGCAGGTTTCAACCGCGGGGCGTACGGCAATGCGGCCGAGAACAAAATAAAGGAAGCCGTCCCTGCGAGCAGACCTTGGGGCGCTAATGCTCTTAGCCCTCGCTGTAACTGTACAAAGAAGATCTTTACTTTAGCGAGACACGGCTCGGGGACATTCCTGCACGATCCACCAGCGGCCGCATTGCGTGGCCTTCGTTGCCTTGTTCGGCTTTCTCTTTGATATTTAACCGAAACAAGTTGCAGTTGGGTTCTCTGCTGAGGACTAACCTCCTGCGTAGTCACGATACTTTTTCAAATCGTACGTGAAAGGAACAAGGGATTTGTACCACAGCACCGCCCCCTTTTTTTTTTTCCCCCTTTAACAGATAACTCTCCATTTCCGGGTTTCTACACAAGATATATGGACTTTCAACAGAAGACCAAAACCACTATTTTGTGCAGCCTGTGCGGTTCGGCAGACTGATCATCCATCCAAACTTCTCTGCACCAACGCACTACCGTGTATGTATTAGTAGTAGTAGTGTCGCGCTAGGGTTGATCTGCAATAAGACCGGCTCTCACCCGCGGGTCGGCGTTCCCATTCGGAACCCTTCAAGAGCGGGCAGAAAGGGCCGAAGATGACACGGCTTCTGATTCTTTGGCTATAATTCAGCCGTACGGATGGCTCTTATCTCGTTTACGAGCACTCCATATACACCGTAGTTTTTGGATGGTCTCACTACGGAAGTTCTGTCTTCGTAGAGACGCCTAGTGACAGGCCAGCGCTTGTCCCTCCGATTTGAGGTTCGCTTCACAGTCCTGTGCCTGAACTAGTGGCAGGTACAGAGGGATTTTTAACGGGTGCACGTGCTCGGTGGGGGGTTCGAAGAATACCAGGTACGAGTATGATTTTTGAACCAGGCCGTTCGACTAAAACGGCTTTGGAAAGCTGATATAACACATGCAAGTACCTCCTGTACAGTACTACAAGATTTTTGCTTTTTCTCCTTTTCCATTGGAGGATCCCATGATGCCGTTTCTTATTGTACTTTGGTGCAGCACAATTTTCCTACCACCCCCGTGCAAGGTTTTCCTTCATTCTCGCTAAGAGAAAAAAAAAAGGTGTAAGTTTCTCTTTCAGTCAAGGAGATGGCAGGATGATGTCTTCTCCCGTCTTCTTCAGGTTTTTGAATGTCGGAATTTAAACAGACAAACGTTGATCTAAGATCTTTGTCATTGTACCCAACGACCGTAGTACTCCGTATATACATTTGGATTATTGTATTCATACGGATATCTTCGTAGGATAATAGCCAGAGCGCATGGGACACATGCAGGTTGGGAAACCTGTAATGTTCACATTGAATTCTATAAATTATCGTCATGTTGCTCATGCGAGTGATGGCTGATCCTCGATTGTTGAGCTTCCTAGTGACAGGGTATCATCAATATGTCCGTTTTGAGAGCACACCTCTCATCGTGATTATATTGGCATCCCAAGCCACGACGGTGAAGGTCCAGGATACCCCAACATGTTTGGTCGAGGATGACAAAGTACGGTATGAGGTCGTTTGGCGATAGCATTGGGTGATCACACGGATGTACCTTCGTACGGAGGAACTCTTTCCCCATGTGGTTCGAAGGCCCCGCTGGAACACGTTGCCGGGATCCACCCTTTGTTCTACCCCTGCAGGGCCACGTCAAATGATTTTCAACGCATGAACGAGGTTGCGCCGAGTACGCGAATCATACCCTTGGATTGATTCTGTTCCCCCGACTCTTTCTCTTTCTCTTCATTCTTTTATGTCTTCTTTCCTTTTCTGGTCTCTCTTTGATGTGAAGTGGTTCCCACTAGGTCTGGCGCCGGCTCTGGTAATTATTTCGCTTCCCCATGCTTGTCACCGTGGTTGTCGATCTTCAGCTCGTTAGCTTCCAACTGTCTGCTCGACGGCTTGATTTGTGGCGATCACTGTGGGACGTCTCTCAAAAATTCGACTCGTCTTTACCATGTGTTGCCTTGCCTCGTTGCATGAGGGTTCTCCATGGCCCTGCCCACTCTTTCCAATGGCCGACCCGCCATTCTTTTAAAACAGCCTTTGTCCGCGTCCATGGTCGGAGTCCTTTTTTATCCTCTCACCTTCACTGCCCAGCACCGCCAGAACAGGCTCTCATCATTGCGGAGACATACTCCTCTTACGTTCCTTGAATCACATTCCTTTTTTGACCGCGTCTGTGACTGCGTCGTTATCTCATTCATTTGCTATCTTCTGCTCTCCTAAAGCATATTTTCTCTGAACCTCGGACGTAAAGAAGCATCTTTCAACCCGCAATCCCCAAAAAGTACGCAATGAAGACCGGTATCTTCGCCTTTGCCACTCTTGCTTTGTTGCAATTGACCTCTGGTCAACCTCACCGTAAGACCTAACGATCTAGTCAACATCGCTGAAGAAAAAGATGCTCAACGATTTTTAAGGACGTACCCACCAACACCATGCCCGTGACTCAAACGCCTATGGTCTGAGTTACTCCCCTTACAATGACGATGGCAGCTGCAAATCCCAGGATCAGGTCAATGGAGACTTCGACAAAATCGACGGATATGATCTTGTGCGCATCTATGGCGTTGACTGCAACCAAGTTTCAACTGTCTTATCTGCCGCAAAGGGTAAAGGCATGAAGCTATTTGCAGGTCTCTTCGACATCTCCAATGTCGACGGCGATATCCAGACAATTGTCAGCGCTGCTAACGGCGACTGGTCAAGCTTTGACACCGTGGCCGTCGGCAATGAGCTTTTAAACTCGAAATCAGCAAGCGCTGACGACGTTGTCAATGCCATTAAGACTGCTCGTGGTCTTCTCAACGGTGCCGGTTTCTCGGGTTCGGTTGTCACAGTGGATACCGCTGCCGCAATCACGTCCAACACTGAATTGTGTGACGCCTCTGACTACGTCGCCCTCAACTGTCACGCATTTTTCGATGACAATGTGGAGGCTTCCGGGGCTGGTCCCTATGTGTTGTCTCAGGCGCAGGAGGTCTCGGCCGCGTGCAACAACAAGAAGACTGTCATTACAGAGTCTGGCTGGCCCTCGCAAGGCGACTCCAATGGAAAGGCTGTGCCATCTACGGAGAACCAAAAGTCTGCCATTGATTCTCTGAAGAACTCGTTCTCTTCCAATCTCATCCTGTTCACCGCTTTCAATGACATGTGGAAGAAGAACAATGCGGGTACATTCAACGCTGAGCAGTACTGGGGTATCCTCAGCGACTAAAGTCCCATGAACAAAATTGGTCCGATTTCTCAACCATGCATTCAAATTATTGATACACAGCTGCACTTTTATACTCTTGCCACGCACACTGCGGGCATAGTCATCGGTGTATGTCTCAGGAGAATCAAATGAAAGGCGTTTAAGATGGAAGTATTTGATTTGGAAATGAGCCGACTACTATGCGAACAGATGTAGTAGATTTATCTTGAAGATAAACGTTATATGGAAGATTATTTTCACAACATCGTTTTTGAAACATGCGTGACATGGACCATAGAGTGCTCTGCGTTCAATGCAAAGCTTGATATCCCCACTCTCAAATTTCTTAGTGATCTCAGTAGCTTCTTTGAACGATTCATCATGTCTCCCATAGAGCGGAGAAATCCATTGAAACATACCCAGAAACGGTGGTAACCACGTGAAGGCCTTAAACTTCGATCTTTTGTTCTGAAAAGTCGATACAAGGACTAATAGGGCGACGGAATCATTCGACAGACGAGGCGAAGGCGGGCAAAGGAAAGTAAAGCAGATCATGGTGAGATACAAAAGATTGGCTGGGCTAACCAAAGAGCAGAGAGCTGTGTGTGGATAATTATAATAATCAGCGAATTATTGAATAGAACACAATAAAATCATTTAGGGAAAAGAAGGGGGAAAAAAAGGAAAAAAAAAAAAAACGTCGATCTGGATCGAACCAGAGAGTGGGTTCCAAAGATTACTAAATGGAGTGTTATGCGGGCTTCCAGGTCGTCTCTGGTAAAAGGCAAGAAACGAATTCTAAGCTAAGCCTCGCACTCCAAACAATCGATTGGCAACAAAATAATATATAACAAGCGCTATCTTTTGAAAGCATCCAAAACCGCGCATTCGTTGCTCCGGTTAGCTCCTCTAACTGAGGGGCACCTTATTCCTCTGCTTCTACCTCCGTACTCTAAAATACAAAGCAATAAAAGAGACAATTCTTGTTCTAAGTTGATTTTACTGCTTACAAGACTCCGCGCTCGATATGGCAGCCTGCATCTTCTGCAAGATCATCAAGGGTAGGTAGAATATTCTCTACTGCGCGGCTAGGCAAAGCGCGAAAAATATACTCCAATCCGTTCGATGACGTCTATTCTCATTTGTTTGTCTACGTTTAGGGGATATTCCCGCTTTCAAGCTCTTCGAGAGCGACAAGGTACTCGCATTCCTCGATATTCAGCCATTAAGTTATGGCCATGCGGTATGTATTTGCATTCACCAATCAGACCATGACACATTCGTTATGTCCCTATCGAGTGGTCCTGGAGCTAATCAGAGAAATGGCGTTCGTTATATTTAATTTAGCTGGTCATCCCTAAGCACCACGGCGCAAAGATCACAGATATTCCCGATGATACTCTGAGCGAAATTCTGGTATGCGATTGCCTTAGCTACTTCACAAATTCTTGCCGCATCTCTACGGCCGCTTTTACAGCTCACATCCGCCCAAAGAAATGGAGCCGCCGATCAACTCAGCTGATACTTGGAATGGTCGCAGCCCGTTATTAAGAAAGTTGCCAGTGCTACTGGTGCCGAGAACTACAACGTGCTTCAGAACAATGGCCGTCTTGCTCACCAAGTCGTCGATCATGTAAGTCTGAAACCCTTTGCTTCTGTGCACATTTTCTAATATTCTGTGCGTCTATAGGTTCACTTCCATATGGTTGGTTGCCGCAATGTCACTGTTGCCCTCTTGCGTTTACAATCGCTGAACACTATCAAAGATTCCCAAGCCAAACGAGGCCGAAGGACTAGGCATCGGTTGGCCAGCCAAGCAGGCTGATATGGAGAAGCTCAAGCAGCTCTTCGAGACGATCAAGGCCAAGGTGTAATTGGGCAAACGGCGGGTTTCATGGGTTTTAGATGAGTATTAGGAGTCGTCAAGATGACATTTCTGGGCAAAGGAGTACCGTTGGCGTAGAGGAGAGTGGGAGCGGGAGAGAATTGAACGGAAGGCATTTCCTCTGATTTATCTACTATCATCCAGTAAGCCACTAGAGAACGATTTCAGGGACTGCTTTCCATTCAGCGTCGAGCTCATTTAGTAGTTGGATCTCGACTGAGAGGTTGCGTAAAGAAAAACGGCAAGCGCTTTTAGTTAAAAATGAACCTAGGAAGTATATTGTTACAAAGTTGGTATTTGAAAGATGCCTGCAGAGGACTTGGTGCACGGCTGATCTCAGGAAGTGCTCTCCCGTAAAATCTTCTCGGAGCGCAGCAGTTATCAGGCCACATAAGGACCGGGCTAGACTGCAACGTGTCCCTGCGTCCTAAGAATGGCAGCCTTCCAATTGTTCCACATCAAATGGCGAGCAGATGGGGAGATATTCGGAGCAGGAGTGGAGTTAGCTCCAGCGGCATTCCCTTTGGCATTTAGCATCATTGCAATTCGCGACCGCTCAACCTACTAGCCACTTTTCCCTGCTCTTAGGACAGTTTGGCGTTCGGAAGTAGAGAATATGCCTGTGCCTTGCTTCAATGCGCTCAGCAGTATTGGCAAAGAATCATCGTCGAAATCATCAGCGGTGCGAATTTTATTAAGATCCTCCGCGAACTCAGTCGCAATTCTTCGCAGATAATACGCTTCGAAATCGGCGGTCAGATTATTGGGATCAGCCTCCGTTATTCTGGAGGGAACGGGCTCGACATCGTGCTGTATTTCCTCCTGTGTAGAGCCATCGGGAAGACTTGGCTGATGTTTATGTCAGTACACTAGCCTCCAACACGGGTTATAGAACGATAATGAAGACACACATTTGCTGTTTGACCAGTTGGAGGCGTCGGAGATGCTGCGCGATTACTTTCTTCCGAATCAGAGGAAGACGAGGCGACTGATAGACGCTCAACTGTTAGCAAATGAAGCGAAACTTGATCGAGCAGAGAAGCTCGGCGCAAAGCGATAGATAATTTGAGATGATATTTTCTGGTGGGAGGTAGTATACCTTCAGTGCGCGCCTTACGCTTCCGTTGCCTTCTGACCTTCCTATCTTTGCCCTCTGCCTTATCTCGCGCCATGGAACTCTGCAAGCTCTTCTGTTTTGAGAGTGAACTATAGAAAAAAACTCTCCGGTTATAGACGAATTCAAAAGTCTTAGTTTCCAGCGAAATTTACACCCCGCACAAAGCTAATATAAAAATAGTTACGCGAAGCCGCCTCAAAACTATACCTAAGATACAAAATGTTCTCGGCGCCTGAGCCCTGCAAATGAGATGGGATCTGATCCTTTGGTCACGTCGTAAAACGCTACACCGCGACAGATAGCTATGAGACTCACGGAAATAGATTCCCTTCAGGTATATTTCTTGAAGAATTATAGTCACTTAACATACTGTCTTGACAAATTATTGATCTGCCATGAGAAAAGCGGCAGCCACTGCACTCCAAGAAACTGGATCACTACTATTGATAATACACACGAAAACGTCGGCATCAGGACCAAGGCTTAAAACCTTGGGTCAAAATCATCCAAAAAGACTCTGGGTCTTTTGAATGATATCTCATCCCGCTCCTCCCTTGCACGCGACTGTTCATAATGATATCCTTTATCCACGCTGGCTCTCTCTTGTAGACCCCTCAATCGCGTGGCCTCGGCTTTCCAGACTTCTTCCCACTTCTCCCCAAACGTCTTCTGATAGATCGCCATTGTTCCGTCTTCCATCTGTTTCTCGAACATGGATTCCAAGTTCTGAGCCAACCGTGCAACATCCTGAGGAGACCCAGTTCTCTCTGCCAATTTGATTTTCTTGCTTAGGCCAACTTCGTTTTTAAAAGTCGCGTTGGCAAGTTTGCGCTTCCTCTGTAAGCTCTCACCCCGCTTTGCCTTGGCTGCAAGGTAGCGGGCAGAGTGGCCAACTGCTTCGCCCTTGTTTACTTCTGGGAGGGCATAAAGGGGAGGGGTGGTGAAAAACAAGATACGGCCGTGTCCATCTTGATGAAACTGATCTCGAATATCCTCCGGAATCGCAAGGTTTGCGGCGTCGCTGAGATGATATACTTCAACCGGCTTTGGCGGGTTATACATAGTGCCCGCAGACAGAGATGGGCGAGCTGTTGGTGGAGGAAAGCCGTAACCAACCTGAGCCCCGGGGAAGCTCGGCTGTTGTGCTGTAGAAAACGGAGTTTGAGGTGGATGAGGCGAATAAGAGATCGGCTGTGTAGCAAATGTATGTTGAAGTGCAGGCGCAGGCGATGCAGACTGCTTGGTGGCTTGTGGAGCGTTCTGAGGTTGGTATGAAATTGGAGCCGGAGTGGAAGGTGCAGGTGTTGAAACAGAGACTGACGACTGCCGACCATGCTCGTTCAGAGGCATGTCGGCTCGTGTTTCTTGTCCGTAGGTTGCTGAAGCGTTAAGTGTAGTGCTTGATGCCTGTCTCACTGGCTGCGTCGTTGCAGGTGGCTGCGGAGGAGGCGAAGGTGTGGGTTCTGGCGGTGGTGATTCCTAATGTGACAACACAGTTAGTGAAGCCAAATTTTCTGCGAGGAGATGAGGGAAATTCACATTAGATTCACGAGGTCGACGATGCACCGCGCCCACAATGGGCGGTGCATTCTCTGCTCCCCATGTCGGCTCAGGCAATGGATCATCCTCCTTTGCATCTGCCTTCAGTAGATGCTTGATTGGGCTTGGAACCTTCTTCATCTTCCTGGGCACATCAAACAAATCCATTTCATAGTCCTTCTCCCTAACCTCATCCGGTAGACAACTAGCCCATGTCTTGATTTTGTTTAGGCGTTTGTTTTCTTCGTTATAGCGTGCTTCACAGACATAAACCTCTTTGTCTGAAGGGAATCCCCTCGGACGACCCTTGTTAAAACGGGTAAAGAACATGACATAGCATTTGTCCACCAACTCATCCACATGATGATCACGATATTGTCCAGTTTTTACGACTTCATGTTCAAAAAAGTGACGTTCATACCTGTGAACGGTTTGCTCAGGCCGATAGTACCAACATGCGTTGACCCATTTCTGCCCCTCCGCATCTTGCCAGGTGCGATATATTTGGGCAACAATGGGCTTGGTGACATCGTTAGGGTTTTGTATGTGAACCCAGTCACCTAAATAAAATTACCACATGGCCGTGAAACTGGGAGATCTGCAGCGGTCAACTTACCCACTTTCCAGAGCTCTCCATTATGGAGAATGTAATCCAATGGCATCCGACCGTCCTCCATCATAAGCTCACTGTCGGGCTTCTTCATTTCAATTTCAGCGAGCTTGCGAGCTTCGACCTAGAAGAGAGTATAAGAATCCAGCACTGCGGAATTTGCGGCATAGATGCGCATCTCAAAGAATTACATACTTGCAGCTCGACAGCATCTTTGTATATCTGACTCTCATCCTCATTATACATCTTAGCATTTTCAAACATGATTTCCATATCCTTCATAAAATGATCAACTGATTGATACTTCTTCCTTTTTTGCTTCCTCTGTGTGACATATTAGTGCCGGTTATTTCGCTTGCTCGGATGTGATATTATGTCTCTCGGGGGTCTTGCTCACCTTAATGATATCGATAGCTAAAGGTGTCTTGATTTCCTGGAAATATTCTGGCATCGTAGCCTTATCAGGAAGTTTCTCAAAGTGAGCAACCTTGAGTTGCCCATCCGGGTTCTTCAATTTCCTGATGCCTTTGAGGATGTTTTTGATCCTAGTTTCCATTGGAGTATCAACCCGCGGAGGTCGACCGCGCCTTTTCCTCGAATCAGCATCGTTGCCTTTCTGCCCAGCGTCATCCTTTGAGGCGCCACCATCGCGTTTGATTGCTCCCATCCTAGATGCCCTTTTCCGGCGCCTCCGGACGCCTTCCTCATCAGAATCTTCCCCATCGTCCTCTTCCTCTTCTTCCTCTTCTTCCTCTTCGTCATCATCTTCTTCATTGATCGGTTGAGGTGACGCTGGTGGAATTTCTCCGAGGTCAGGAAGTACGGTCACCTCAGCGGACACGATATGTCGATCCACGAGCTTTTGAAGCTCGGCTTCAAGAACAGCCTAAGTCAAGGCGATTTAAACTCAGCAAAATGGAATCGGTCAAACTGATTTGACTAACCTTGAAGGTGAGAGCGTCGTGATAGACCAATGCTTCTGGTCTGTTGTACAACTGCGCATTGTGTGGAATCTAAAGCTCGTCAGTATATATACCTCCTTTTGCTGACCAATAACTAACCAAAGCAAAGTCCCGAACGAACTCTGAGAAATTCTTGTATTCTCTAGCATTGATGCGTTGCTGCAGCGAGATGTCAACTCTGTTATGAAATGGGATTTCGACTGAACATAAAGATCATCATATGGGAAAATCCATACTTTGATTGTACTCAAAGCCATAGGTTCTTTGATAACGTCATAATAATCGGGAGTAATCCTTCTGTTCACTTTGCGATGGAAATGTTTCGAAGGATCATGTCCGCTGGCAATCGTTAGTACGCGCAATTCCTACATGGTGCGAAGTCTCGGGCATACTCGCTATTCCTGTGGGCATAAATATTTGCCAAAACAGACTGCATCGCTTCCCATTCGTGTTCAGTGACATTGGAGTCTTCGGTCTTTATTTGTGCCCCATCAGTCTCCGTTGATGGCAATGGCGTTGGACTCGCCGAGGCGCGACCCGACGCCATTATGATCGGAATTAAGCTCCCTAAAGCAGAAACCCAAAGGAAGCAAAGCGCTTATACTACTCCGAGCTTCAAAACGTTCAAAAGAGACTATGTTGACGAGCAAACTTCGAATTGTCTTGTTAGTTCGCGCTACCTATTCGCGATCCAGTGCACATCCAGCGCGACGTTCGATGGGGAATTTCCGTAGACCTGTGCTTTGCGCTAAACCTGATTTGCACTAATACCTGGATGTACTTCTGTACCCCAGTCACTACCCCAAAGCCATATAACCTCAGCTGTTTGATAAGGAAGCTCATGGTTTTGAATTGTCGTGGAGCCGAGAAGAGACTTTTGAATTGTGGGTTTGAAGGGTCCCAGTTACAGTCTATACATTCGCTGATCTCGAAGAGGAATACCGATTGCTATATTTAACAGGACTCGCATACCTCAACAGCATGAAATTTAGGATTCGCGGGCCTTCCGGCGTCACAACAGCTACCATTCCAGATACAGCCACAATACAAGTCCTTCGAGAAGAAATATTAAAGACAACTTCGCTTCAGGCTTTTGACTTGAAGATTGGATATCCCCCCAAACCACTTCTACTCGATGAGTACTCTCGCTCAGCAGGACTGAGTGAGCTGGGAATTCAGCTCCATGGGGAGCAGCTCATCGTGAGCACCAAAGAGAATCCCCATAAAAACCAATCTCAATCTGATCCCACGTCTAAAGACACACAGAGATACCCAGCAACACCGATCAACAACTCTGATTGGGATATTAATCTGCCGGAAAAGACACAGGCCTCTGCGGGAAGGGCTGGACAATCGAACGCATCTAATTCGTTTCCCCCATTAATACAAAGAAGTGACGACAATGATCCGCCGGAACTGGCAGTCCCTTCTCATGGCGGAACCTTGGTACTTCGAATCATGCCCGATGATAACTCGTGCCTTTTTCGCGCCTTTGGGAGTTCCTTTCTGGGCTCCGTTGACAGCATGACCGAGCTCCGTTCTCTTATAGCTCAGAATATCCAGGCGCAACCAGATCTATATTCAGAGGCTGTTCTCGAACAAAAGCCGGACGACTACTGCAGATGGATACAGACAGAAGATGCCTGGGGAGGTGGAATCGAGCTTAGTATTCTCAGTAGTCATTTTGACATTGAGATATGTTCAATAGATGTCCAGACATTAAGGGTAGACAGGTTCAACGAAGGTCGCCCGTTGAGATGCATCCTGGTATACTCGGGCATACATTACGATGCCATCGCTCTTTCTCCTTCAGATCCACCATACCACCGCAGCTATGCTCCTCCTGATTTTGATACGAAGGTTTTTGATTCGGCGGACAGCATAATACTGAGCACTGCTACAGAGCTTTGCCGCGCTCTACAACAAAAGCATTATTTTACCGACACCGCAAGCTTTGCCGTTAGGTGTAATGTTTGCGGTGGAACTTTTGTCGGAGAAAAAGGCGCCACCGAACACGCCAAACGATCTGGACATCAGGATTTTGGAGAAGCAGAATAAATTGTATTGGCACTAGTGAGCAGACGGCGGAATACTTATTTGGCCGACTCGCGTCTCTCTCTCATTCCACGTGGCTAGCAACGCCAAGCGATACAGGAGGAGAATAAGAAGATCACATTATCTGGAACATTCCGATGAGGACCGATTACATGATTATTCCCCCTTTGAGGACGGAATAAGGCCTGCTATCTTTTTTAATAGACACGTAAACTGCCGTGCATTTTTGTCGATGCCGAATGCCCGGAAGTGAAGAGACCATGACATCAACATGTTACACCTTGAACAGTTGCCTTCTAAGAGCAGAGCTATGGTGGTCAGTTGCGGTGTTGTGATGAGTGGTGAGTTATTCGTAACACCAGCTATGCAGGAGAGCGAGTCTCGAACTTTTCGTGCTGATCATCTAGGATTACGGTACACCCATCTTGGTTGTGCATGAGGGATGGTTGTAATGTGGACGGGAGGCTGAGATGATCCAAATACAGAAATGCTCACCAGGCTGGACTTTATAGATCCATACCCTTCGCAGAGACAGTAGAGCCTATGCTATTATCCGGGCTGCATTCTGTCTTGAGTGAGTTCCTGATGTTCTCGCTCGTTGGACCCGAATTGAATTCGCTCCACCTTAGCTTCTGCGTATCTACTGATCGGCATAAGCACGGATTCCTTCTATCTGTAGCGCTATTTATGCATGCATTTCGCAGGCTTGATCTAAATCGCCTAGGTCTAAAGACGGTTTCCCCTTTGAGAGGCGTCATGCACATTAATTAGGTGTCAACACTCCTACGATGACCTTTAGACGACCGAGATTCGTAGTCTCCCATTTCTGTAGGACGTAAAGGGGTAAATCCCAGACTCAGAGGCCTGCAATGTTCCATGAAATTATGACAGATGACTTGGGTAGTTTGTGCAATACCCATGATGGCAAAAGGAGAAATATGCTAGTGAGCATTCATATGAACGTTCGCGATTTGAGTGAGGTCGCCTTTCGAATCGGAACTTTCCAGTATGTACCTACAGTCGGCGATTCCTCTTCCACTCTTGCGACTCTTCAGGGCTGCGAAGGACTGAGGAAATGCTTTTGTATAATAAGAGTCTAGACGCAGCAGTACGATACTACGGCAGGACAGTACGCAGCATAATAGCGAGTAGCATGTAAAGGTAACCCAGCCTTAAGTACTGCGGGATAACCGATCGGTGGGTAGTTGGGCTATTGGTAGAATGGGTCACGCTATCATATATCTGAACACAGGAGAATCTTCAACGATATGTAAATGGTAGAATGGGGAGATGCTAGTTTTTTTCATAAAAATCTCTCAGGTCTCCCAAAAAGTGGGAATATCCCAGCTTTTTATGGAGT